ATAGGGGCGGAGGGGGAGAGAGAGACACTTTTTGAGGGCTCTGACTCTGATGCGGAGAGCGTAGGGTGCCGCCTACAGAGGAATAGAAGTGGGAACCACACGTCCTTGCACGCGTGAAACCCTCCTGGACCCCACATGTTGACTCACGTTTCAACCTTCTCCTTCCTCTCTCTGTCTCTCTCTCTTCTCCCCCGCGTTTCTCTCTCTCACCCTTTCACTCTCACCAATTAAAATCAACATGTCTTATTCACTTTTAATTTTAAAACATTTTTTGCAAGTTGCTGGTACCTCTTTTTGAGGGAAAAAAATTAAGAGGTTGAATTAGAGAACTGACAGGATGTTCTTGTCAAATTGATTTTTAAAAAAATCTCAAAAAAATACTTCTTAAATTTTAAAATATCAAATTAGAAATAAATAAAAAAATATTATTTTCTTTTTAAATGTTGTCAATTGTTACAAAAGTATAGTAAATAAAACTGATTTAAAATTTTAAAATTCAAATACATTTTTTTAAATTTTTTTTAAAAATTAATGTGTAATTTTGATTTTTTTTAGAACGTGAAAGATGTGGAAACGCGCTTTTCTGGAGAGATTTGTATTTTTCCCCCCAAAAAATATCAAATATAGTAACAAAATATTGGTTTAACATAAAATGGCCACATACATAGAGAACACATAATACAACTTCACATACCGGACACCAACTGAAAATAAAGTACATATATTGAATCTGCAAACTTGAGACTCAGCTACTATAGTCACTCGGACTAATAACCCAAAGACTAAGGGAGTGTTTGGATAAAAACCAAACCATGGTTTCAGAAGTGTTTTTACGGATTACGAAGTAAATATGTGGAGGAGGTTACCTTGTTTTGCGGAAAAGTGCTTCTGAAACCACGGTTTTGGAGCACCCAAACAGAGCCTAAATGTAACAGCCTACAAAAACCAATGGCAAGATGAAAACCATGTGAAGCCATAAGCACAATTTTAATCCCTCAACAAGACATGAACGAGTAAAACACTAATTTCACTTTTGAAAGACAAGAACGAGTATCTACTTAGATTAAGGGGGCGTTTGGGTTAAAAAAAAACACTTTACATAAATTGAGATAATACTCTTCTCACATACTTATTTCATATACTGTAAAATTATTTTTAAAACCATAGTTTGGTTTTTACCGAAACACTCTATAAGTTTGAACGAAATGGGCAGATAACAAACTTTATGTTGGAAGCCTCATATGTGAGCACTTATGCCATAGTATCACTCCAATCATAATGGCCCTCATCAAAATCATTGAAATTTGTTGTAGCATAGCCCATCCAAGCGCAAGACTAATTGTTGCATTCGATAAACATCAACTGAGAGATTTGCATAACGCCACCCAACCCAAAAAGTGGTTTTAGGATCCAAACACATGCTTAATGAGTCTTTAATTGATGAATTGAGATTAAAATAAAATTATTGTTAATGATGTTATGCCCCAAAAAAAATTATTAGATGATAGTTTAGCGTCGACGACTAACTACTTGCATCTCTGTATGTGAGCACGTGAGTGGGTTTATTAAATTGATCATATTAAAGAAAAATTAAATGATGGTTTGGAATCAAGAAGTAAATGTTAAATGAATTTTAAATTGAATCCCATGGATTACTCAAGGTTTGCAATATATATCAGAATTGTGAATGAAACCACAAATAAAATTGATAAAATGCCACACAAAAAGGCTGAATCTTATGGTGTTTCTATTTTTTAAACGTAAAATTACATACTTTTAGAAAATCACAACAAATCAAAGCATATTAAATTATTAATTGGAAAAGCCTTTTCAATATATGAGAAATAACTATGATATGGTGTTCGAATGTTTATAGATAGGCCAATATTTTACTTTATAATGAAGATGTTTTGAGCTAATTAATGCATACATTAATATGTCGGCTAGGATTAATTTTTCTCATATATATAGATATATCACAACCTCAATGCATATTTAAATTAGAATTAGACAACATAAAGAATATATATACACATTCTTATCTCTTAAAAGCAAATCTTTGTTGGCTAAAATGAAGCTGATTAATAAAGTTGATAAGCATGAACCGGTTGTAAGGGTGGTTAGAATATGCTAGAGAATATGACTGCTCTTTAAACGAAATTAAAAAATTAAAAGCGGACACTAAAGGACTACCTCCGGTCTTTAATATAAGAGATAGTTGATTAATTTAAGTATTAAGAAAATTAGTTAAGTTAGTTATTTGTAATAAATATGTGTTGTCTTTCCTAAAATATCATTGCTAATTATGTATATTAGCTTATGAAGCATTTAACATGTGTAATTGTTATAAGGACTACTTTAAAAAATAAATAAATATGAAAGATAAACTAGATTAAATTTTTATATTTAAGATTAATTGAAAGTCAAACTAGTTTTTATATTAAGAATTGGAAGTAGTATTTAAGTTTGTGGAGGTAATAACGATATGTCATGGCATGTAAGACTAAATAAGAATTTTTATATCATTATGAACAAATTAGTCAAAAGAATTATAATTGTATATATTGCCTCATCAGTTTAATTTAATATTTTAAAATAATTTTTAAAAATATTTTAATGTTACACAAATCATATACAAAGTTTTATTTTTTTTTAAATATATACTTAATTAAAATTATTTCACCTTTGGTATTCCGCACAAAGATCACGATGAATTAAAAATCTGAGTTCCATTACACGAATAAACTTGTTAAATCAATTTTTATTTTTTTATAAATTTTTTCTTTCATGATCTAATATTCTAATGATGTTTAACCTTAGACAGTATTTGTAAAAGATCCATTTAAGTGCTATATTTTTGGATAATATTTTAATTTAATGGTTATGTAACAAAAACTCTGGAAAACGTATTTTTCTTTTAAAAAATTGTTCTGTGTAATTCTTAATTAATTTCCTAACTTGAACCACTACAAGTCAACAGGTTTGTAAGTGTCAAATTGATCTTATACTTGACCCAAATCTTTTTGTCAACCAGATTTTCACGGGCAATCATTTAACCTTTTGATAAATCGTCTCGGTCTAGAATTCCTTTAGTGTTAGATTATATTTTAACATGTAATGTTGAATTTTTATTTTCCAACTTGTGATTATTCATCTGAATAATTGCAAAATATATGTAAAATTTGAAATCAAATTTTCTTAATAGATGAATATAATTTTCAATATATACACAGACACATATATCAATCAAATTTATATTCTTATTGAAATTTTAGTTAGTGTTAAATAAAATATATATAGAATGTGATCGTTGGCCGACACATCAAAGTCAACCATCAATTTATTACTTTCTCTTAACTTACTTTTTTTTTTCTTGATTGAATTTTCTCTTGTAAATAAAACTATAATACTTACAAGAGAAAATTCAATCAAGAAGCAAAAAAAAAAAAAACTTGTAGAATTAAATGTTAAAATCAATGTTGTTGATGATGTGAAATGCAACCTTTGAGAATGACATAAGAAAATTGCGTATCTGACTTCCAAATTCCATTGACTATTAATATGTGTGTATGTAACGATAATGTCAAAACATTGATTTGTTCTTGACCTATAGATCTCAACTATATATAGAACACGCAATTAATTAATTAAACTCGGTATATAAATAAGACATGCACTTCTGGATAAATCACATATTAGTTGGCATAATTAATTGATAAAGTCGGTTTACCTTAATTTGTGTGTGTAGATTAATATTAATTTTAATTTACTGGCTCTAATTTTGATTATTAAGATAAAACCTTTTTTTTTAAAATTCATGTCGTGTTGGGCATTTTGTAAACTATACTCATCATTCTAAGATAAGAAATTTCATATTCAATGGTTCATTATTGTGATGCATAAAACATTATCATATTCAAAGTAAAAAATAAAATAAAGGACCATTTGGTATGAGATATGATTTAATTAATTAATTAATTATTGACAAGAGCATATATCGATCTCCAACTTCTCCTTCATTTTCACATTGTGCTTAGTTAAGATAAGTGACATGATTTAATTTGATGTCTTGTCATCATATGCCTAATTCGCACTACTAGTACTAATAATACCGTATCATTTTAGTCATAATTAGCTAGATTAGTTACTAATTAACTATGTTAACTATCTTTATTTAACATGCGAGCAATATCATCTAAGACAAAATAGTTGACTACAAGTTTAATCATTATATTTTAAAAACTTACATGATAGAAAAATATGCCGCAAATTTTTGGCTAAATATATCTACAATTAATTGACTAGATTGTTTTAACTTTTTCCCCCTAATACTTGTGGCTAATGATTCATGTAATATTTTATTGAGTTTCAACTTAATTCGTTGACTTCACCTTATGTAAATGTTTCACATTTATTTAGTTTCAACTTAGTTCAATTCACTTGACCTTAGTTCTACTTTTGTTAGCGACATTGTATCTAGTCTAGTAATATATATAATTTTTCTTTTTAATAAGTAGAAGGTTGCAAGTTCAACTTTGCTTGTAATCACCAAATCATTAGTGTCTCTTTTTCATTAAAAAAGAAAAGGAAAGAGCCTCAATCGTTGGGAAAAATACGCCAATTGAATTACATAATAGTTGAATCTTGCCTAGCGTCATGCGGAATTAGATAATTATGTAAAAAAAGAGTACAACTTTAAATTAATTTCGTTTATATATATACTATCTCTGGTCAATAAAGTCTTATAATTAAGACGGGAGGTAATATATTAGGGAAAAAAAGAACAGTAACTACTGATACAGAAGAGAATATTACAGTCCAAAGAGGGGGCTTGGGGGGGGCGAAGAGTTGATTACAAAATGACCTAATTGTTGTGGGAGTGTGTGGGGTCTAATCAGTAATATGATAACCCTCCGAATTGTCAAAGTGTCAGCCACATTCTTCTTAGTCGGTTACTCTCTCTTTCCTCTCTTCACCCCTCTATATATATATACAGACACACACACAACTACTTTCCATTCATTTCCAACACTCTCCATCATCAGCTCTGTATATATTCTCACAGACTCTGATATATAGCTTAATTAGCTTGCTTCTTGTTCCCTTCCATGGCGGATGATCAATTTCAGGCTACTGGAAATTGGTGGGACTCCTGTTCAAGAAATGTGAGATTCGAATCCCAATCTTCTTCCTCAAACCTCACCACCTCCTTCGTCCCCAACTTCACTTGGAACAATATGGATCATCATCATGACCTCAAGCCTGGCTCTTCCATCTCTGATTCTCCCATGATCATGGGCTTAGGCCTCTCCTCAAACCCCATGGATTGGAACAATCAACCCTCACATAATAATCTCCTGTAAGTTCATCATCTTCATCTTTCAATCTATTAGATACTACCAGCTGTGTCATGCTAGGTTAAAGTTTCTGACTTTTAATTTCATTCTGCAGAAGAGCAGAGAATAAGGGGGTCTCCGATGGCCGATTCAGACCCATGCTTCAAGAGAATCTGGGTTCTCAAGAAAGTGGGATGGGTTTATCTCATCATCAACAAGTTGAGTGGAGAGAGAAACTATTGTTTTCAACAGATTCATCTTCAACTACGACTGAGCAGTACAGTACTACTTCCGGGGATAGTATAGTGACGACCAGCCAAGGCTTAGCTTGTAGTTTCCACATGGATTCTAATTCTTATTCTGCTGCAAATCCTTCAATATTACAGGGAATATTAGCTCCTGAAGCTTCTTCTTCCTCTTCCTCCTTCGACAATAACCACAATCGTGCCTGCTTCAATAACTTTCCCTATGGATCTAACAATAATGATCAGCTAATGGCTTCTAATTGGCCTAAGGTTTCTCAGTTTCTTAGGGCTTCGCCGCCGAAACAAACCCAACATCACGGTGGTGGTTGTGGTGGTAATAGCCAGTTGCAGTTTACGAACAACACAACCTTCTGGAACGCTTCTGAAGCTCCTCCTCATCATCATCATCAAGCCGCCATTAAAGAACCTCGAGCTTCCTTCTTCCCTTCCCTGCAGCCTCCTTTTCACTCGCCGAATTTTGATGCACAATCAAAGGTACAATACTTTTTGTTTTCGCCTTCTTAATTAAGGAGGGGTTTTCTTACTTAAAAGTTTAATTTTTTTTTTTTATATGATGTGAAGGTAAGGGCGTAATCTCAATTATCTCACCATCACCTCACATGGTTGGTGAATCTAGAATTTTTATTTTTCATGGCTTTAAAAAAAAAATCCTGATATTTAGAGATATTATGTGCATACACATAAATATATGCATTAATGTTACACAACATTGATGATATTCGTTAAGGCTTAGGGTTGATGCGCAGTAATCTTCTTGGATTTTGAACTGATCAAAAGGGGTTATTATTTCAGTTGGAAATGGCAATAAAACCAAAAAGAAATAAAAATATAAAAACAGAACGTCACACACAAGCCTTTTTTGTCAACCTCAAACTGAAATTCTGTTAGACCTAGTTAGCTGTGAAGATTTTTTCCTTTGACATATAATGTCTGTCATGTCTATAAAATTATCAGTCTAACAATTTTTTTAAAAATATTTTCATCATTCTCTCATAATAAAAGTCAGTTTATTTTTATTTCATGGTATTACTTATGTTAAGTAGAATAAACTAGCTCTTTTACTCTCAGTTAATTTTGGAGATATGCATCTTTAAAAAAATTGTGAGAAAGAAAAAGAGTCTGATTTACTTATTTTAAAATAATGGTATTGCAGAATATTTGTGGAGGAAGAGAAACGAATAGTGTGGGGAAGAAAAGTGGTGGAGAAGCAGCACCAAAAAGGGCGAGAAACGAAACCTCATCGACTTTGCCACCTTTTAAGGTATTTAATAATTATTATTATTATTAATACCAATCATAATTAAGGGCGACGAAACTTTTTAAAATTCAAGTGCTTTAAACTTTCTGGAATTACATTTCGTTTTTTTGTTGTTGGAGTCGATATATAAACAAGAAATAACTTCGAATGTTGTCAGGTGAGAAAAGAGAAGATGGGGGACCGGATTACTGCTCTTCAGCAGTTGGTTTCGCCTTTTGGGAAGGTAATTTAATTTAATTAATTCCAGCTTCTAAATTTATATATATACCATTAATTAGATGATTAAATTAAAAGGATCTGGTTGGCTAAAATAAAAATTAAAAGGATATGATATTAATATGCTATGAAAAAGATAGAGGTTGGGTTTTATACGCTTTATAATACTTTATCATTGGACCACTTTGAGATTTATATAGATTATCTGAAAGTTACATTCAAACTTGATGAAGATTATATATTATTGGCCACAAAAATATGTTGAAAATTTTTACTTCTATATACAATAATGTTAATTAAAACCTTATAATATCTCTCTCAAACTTTTATGATATTTTCGTTTTGAGTCTTCATCAGATATATTTTTCATCTATATCATACAAATGCAAGGTTTGAAATTATGGAGACTTCAAAGTGTTCTAACTTCTAATAGCAAGAGAACTAAAATACTAGTCCTATAAAAAAGTTTAAATAATAATCTCCCGTTGATCATTTTATTATAACCTTACTCTAATTAATGACAATCATAGTACTTCATTAATTAATTATGGATTAATTCAATTCTTTATTAACGTGTGGTTATAATTTTTGTCAGACTGATACAGCCTCAGTGCTGTCTGAAGCCATCGAGTACATCAAATTCCTCCATGAACAAGTCTCTGTAAGTCCCATAACCATATATATGCATATATATATATATATATATATATCATCAAAAGCTAAAATTAATATATAGAAAACTTGGACTTACACACCCACGCATATATATAAATATATATTCATCTCCTTTTGTTTTATTGTCGGTTATAGGTTTTAAGCACCCCATATATGAAAAGTGGAGCTCCGCAGCACCAACAGGTACTTCACATAGACGTTCCTCCATGTGTGTGTGTGTGTCTAATATAATAGAATTATTATGAAATTAACATAACATATATAATGATGAAAATTGCAGAGTTCTGGGAAATGTAAGGACGGGGAAGCCCTAAAACAAGACCTGAGAAGCCGAGGGCTGTGTTTGGTGCCGGTTTCAAGCACTTTTCCAGTAACTCATGAAACCACTGTTGATTTTTGGATGCCAACTTTTGGAGCCACTTTCAGATAGTTAATTCCTACGAAATTTTTATTACCTAATTGATAGGTAGGTAGATATATTCTAAACAAAGAATCTTATGATCTTTGATTTAATTAACACATTTGTATTTATTTATGTTATTAACTTGAAGCTATTTTGTCTTAGATTGAATCATCTACGATTCTAGAAAGAATCTTATCATCAGGTCAGATTGGAAATGATGAAATGATAGCGAGGAGGAACACTAAAGAAGGACACAGAGGCCACACAAATTTGTCAAGTTGTTGATTGTGCTCATGGAAGAGAAGAACGGAAGGGAAAGGAGAGGAAAGGAAAAGAAAAGAAAGGAAAAGGAGAGTGTTGGAAAATGTGTTGAAAGAGAAAGAAAAGGAAATGACCCTCCAAAAGAGAGGCCTTTGTTGAGCCATCTGCATGCAGAATGATGCAACATTGGGACCATTAATTATACTTCTTAACTTGTCATTATAGTTGGAGAATCATGCTTAATTAGGGGATTAATTATAGGAAGAGATTAATTAATCAAAGGGAGAATTGTTGTTTTATATTTAGAAGAAGAAGATAAAGAAGGTTTGATTTTTATTGTTACTAGTCTTTGATGAATTGATTAGATTTGTCCATGGCACTTGATGATGATATATTGTATGCTTTTGATTTTGATTAATGAAAGGAAACAAGAGAGAAGATTTGATTTGAAGGAATAATGGAAGTTGAGAAATACTAAATAAATGGATTGGACATCTCACTTTAAATTGTTTTTTTTTAATAATGTCGTTCGAATATGTGATGGAAGTGGAGGTCAGAGGGTGGCCCCCCTACCAAAACCCCTCTCAGATTTTTCATTAATTTGCTATATAAGAGAAACTAACTAATAAAATGCATCCAGATATCATTACACTCACTCTTACTCCCTCTAGTGCTGTATTTGCACATAACATAACTTTACTGATTCGTATAATCTTATTTATAATATATATATGTGCCTGAAATTTAAATAATTTTTTTCTCTCTCATTGCATGTTATATCACTGTATTGATATATATCTCTTTCATATTTTTTATTCATTTTCTCTCCCACTCTCTTCATAAATAAGAATATTTTTAAAAAATAAAATTTATTTTTTACACATTTATTACCTTTAAACAATTTAAACCATTTTTTAGTTATATAATTTAATTATTTATATCTAATATAGAGGATAGAACCAATGCAAATGGAGTACTTACAAATATTGCGCCTGTCATATATTTAAGTGTGTGTGAAGAAAGTTATATACTCATTTAATGTGCTTATTTGATTATTTCTAATCAAATCAAGACGTGTGAATTTTTTATTATAATTAATATTATTAGTATTAATATTTTATTAAAATCCACATGTTTTAATTTGATTGGATAAAAATATCTTATTCATATAAGCTAGATGCCTTTTTTTGGTGGTACTAACAAAGTAGAAAGATAGATATATAATATTGTTGCAGATGCTTTCACACATGCTTTTGCTCTTTATATCGAGTGGCCATTATAGAGAGGCCAAGCTATGCTATAGTATATAATGTATATATACTTTGCTAATGAAATAAAAGTAAATATCATAATAATAAGAAGAAAAAAGTTAGACGAGAGAGAGTGCTAGAGCCTAGCAGAGAATAAGAAAAATCTCTCGTAGTCTTAGAATTTTAAAACTTGCTTCAGTTTTTTAGTTTTTTTAGATATATTGGACCATCTCTGAAGGGGGAAAAAAAGAAAAGCTTTATGATCAAGAGTCACTTTCTTCTTTAGCAAGATTTATAGTATAAGTTACTACTTCTATTTCTTTATAATCATTAACTTTGGAAAAATATTTATATTTATATTTATTTTAAAAATTCATTATGTTCTGGTCACCTAGAAATTAAAGTGTCCTGCATATTTGATTATAAAATTTCTTTCATTCTTTAATTAGTGATCAAAGAAACCTTTTTTTCCCCCTTTCATTCCTTTCGAGGTCAATTATAAGAGCAATCACCGTTAACCTTAGCTTTGGAGATGTTTTTTTTTTCAATTGACAACTTTAAAAAATATATTTATATAGATAATTTCAATTCAAAGATAAGAAAGTCAATTGAATTCAAATTCTTGGCGTCAACTTAACTCAATCTAAACAATTAAGTGGATATTGATGAGGAAAGCATTTAATTTAATTTAATACACAAATATCATTTGAAAGATGATAGAAGAAAACATATAATTTATATAAATGACCAAAAAATTATATATAAAGACAACATCAAACTTCCACTTTAATTTGTTAATTTTAGTTTCCTAACTATCATCATATATATATATATATATATTATGATATTTAAAATTAAAACACCACACAACTAGAAATAGTAATATATACTGCATGTATATAGTATGTTTTGGCATGTGTGAGACTGTGAGTTTGAGATAATTCTAACTCTACTAATTCCTTTTGTTTTTTCGTTAATTATTACCTTCTCAATAGTAGCAGAATCATGTGGGTGATATGTTAAAGTAAATAAGCACACTTTTTTTTTTTAATGGTAGAAGGGTTCCTGATTTATATATGTATCTGAGTATATATTATGGTTTTCTTTTTTAAATGGTAGAAGGTTTTCTGATTTGTGTGTGTGTGTGTGGGATTATATATTATGGTTTAATTTTTTTCTGACTTTTTGATGAGCATCTTCTTTATCCATGACCACGAGCCCTTGTTTCCCTGAATATGCCACTAGCTTTTCAAATAACTATAAAGAAATTAACTATGGGTTTATCTTAATTAAGATTGTTCGGATACTGTTTCCTTTTCTAATTTTTAACTATGATTAGAACATTGTTTCTAATAGTTTATTTCTTCTAATGCTAAAACATGATTGCCAATCATCAATGATTATCATTGATAACAAACAGCATATAAACTAAAAAACAATAAAGCAAAGAGGAATAGAATCTTCAGATTGTTATTAATTAGGCCTATAGGTCATATGAGATTCCATAATTTCATCCTTTTTTCTTCACTTTTTATGCCACCCAGCACAAGTCTCCATAAAATTGTTAATTTTAATTTCTTGACTTCTATTTAATTAATATCTGTTAATCATGTTAGGCTCACTTTTACATATCTGAATTTTATTAGTTTTATCCATTTTCCCAAGCTTTCTGATGTATTTCCAGTCTTGACATAATCACTTCCTCTCATCAAGAAAAGAAAAACTTCCTCTGACAGATCAAAGAAATAGTTGAGCTTTTAATAACAGACTGTCACAATAATAATACTATTATAAATAACTAATTTAATTAATTTTTTTAATATTTATAAATTAGTTATTTAGTTCTTATATTAAGAGGGGAAAAAAAACTGTTAGAAGCTGACCATTAGTTATTCAAACATGTACTATAAATGCCTAACTGTCATAATAAATACTTTGACATAGGACATAATGAAAAAAGGAACATATTTATGAGATTAAAGTCTCGTTTGGATTCACATTTGAAATCACTTATAAATAATTTTTTTTTACATACTTATCTTAGATTCCATATAAATCATTCCAAACCGATGCTTATTAGGGTTTAATGTAGAAGACCACTCAGGAAGACAATCTAATAATTAATCGACGAAGATACAAATTAAGGCAGAGATTCCATTCCAGTTTTTCTGAGCTTTGGCATGTGCATGTCAGAGGAGGGACTGTTGATTTAAGTTTTGAAGAGGACGACTAAAGTCCATCCATTGGAATCCAAAACATCGAAAAAGGAGAACAAGAACTTGCCTCAGAAATTCATGGTGGGCGTCAAGAAACGACGACGACGGAATTAGATGCTGCAGAGTCATAAGTGGAAACTCATTGATATATTCAAACTAATGATAAGAAGAGGAAAGAAATAAAGCAGAACAGAGCTGGATAAGAGTACCAAAAGCCTCTCTCTGTGAATCACATCACATGGCAACAGTGAAGAAGAGGAGGAAGAAGAAGAATGTTTCAGAGTATTTTCTTTTCTTTTTGTGACAGATGCCTACTTATAAGTCGCCTGAAGTCTCTTCTCAGTAGTACTAGTTTCAAGAAAATATCACACTGAGTTATATGTTGCAGAAAAGAAAGTTTAGTGTTTTCCAAGTTTTCAGTAACACTTTATGCTGAAATAGAGAAAAGGAAATCCATGAAGAGGGGCTTAGAAAGATGAAGCTGGAAGAACAGAAATGGAGAACAGAGCAGTTATCAAACTGCAGGTTACCGATAAAAGTAACCACTAATCGTATACTCATAATATATAAAATTACTTTCATTTAAGTGCGACTATTTAAAAGGGTAGAAATTGAGAATGGGAGATATCAACCAAGTCAATTACTCGCATTAATCATTATACTACCTCCGGTCCTAATTACAACACCTAGTTGACTAATTAGAAGAGATTACGAAAATAAGTTAAGTTAGTTATTTGTAATAAATAGGTGTTGTCTTTTTTAAAATATCTTTGCTAATAAACTATATTGGCTAGAACTACTATTATTAGAAGGACTACCTTGAAAAAAGATACATAAATATGAGAGACAAAGTGGATTGGAGATTTATATTTAGGACCAAAATAAAAATAAAATAAAATCTTATATTAAGGATAAGAGGTAGTATTATAGTACATAAAAAGGCCGTAGACCGTTGTCAATGTAAAAAAGAACAAGTGGATATTTTTGGTTTCCAAAACAATGAACAGTGGAAATTTATGGAGTTATTAGCGATCTGGGCACAAATTTCCGTAGGGAACAAAAATAAAAATTGGGCAGAGCCCAAATTTGCCATTTGCATCTGGTTTGGTCTGGCCCAGAACGCTAGATCCAAATCCAATTCCAAAGATGTCCACAAAGATCGAGTTTGAAAAATATCTTACGCTTGCCTTCCCCGATGAACCATTGAAAGCTCAAAACAGAGCCTCCCATTTTCATTTTGATTGTTTTTTTCCCGAGTATTTTCTGAATTGTTTCTCGCCTTGATCAGAACAGGGTACATGATGGGTGTTGCACAGTGCACACAATAAATTTCTTTTTCACGTATTGGCATTAAAAAACTCAAGGGAGTACAATTAATTGAAGGGACAAAGATATTTGAAACCAATGAAGAAAACAAGAAAAGCAAACTTTCCTAATCAACAAACGGAAACCACCATGAATCACGCATACAAAGCTAGATTCACGGACATTATTATTGACAAGCATATAGAAGAATGCAAATTGATAGATTCTGGTGCTACGAAAAAAATTGGGCAAGAACTTTGAATTAAGGCAATGACTTTAATCTTTGTTCCTTTGATGAATGTTATGTCTATGTTGACTTAACATCATTATGCAGATCCCTTGAGCTTCTTTGTGATGGCGGCGATGTACTTCCCTTGGTGGAATGCTTGCTCCAACTCAAGCTCAGATGGCTGTCTTGATCCATCACCGGCATAAGTCCCTGCACCATAAGGACTCCCACCTTTCACCTGCTCCATCTCAAACATGCCGGCGCCGAATGTATATCCAATGGGAACAAATATCATGCCGTGATGAACCAGTTGAGTAATAGCAGTCAACCTGTTATAGTTTCAATTTTCCTTAACATCAATATCTGATATTCTTATATTAGATCAAGTCAATCGTAAAGTATTATATAAGCATGTCAAAATTTGACTAGTTTATGTGTTTCTTTGTGAATGACTTGATTTACGTAAGAAGTTTTAAACTACAGTATCTAATAGAGGCTCTTACGCTGTAGTCTCTTGTCCACCACCTTGCGAGCCAGTGCTGTAGAAGATTCCGGCAGGCTTACCTGCAAGCTGTTGTGTTCTCCATAAACCTCCAGTTGCATCAAGAAAGGCTTTGAATTGAGCGGCCATCATTCCGAATCTTGTTGGGAAGCCAAAAACAAAGCCATCAGCCTCAGCGAGTTGATTGGGTGTAATTACTGGTACATCACTCTTTGGTGGCGCACTCATCTTGCCAAGCACCTCGTCTGGCAGAGTCTCAGGTACCTGTTCACAAGTTCTTTCAAGTTAGTTGGGTTAACTCGTTTTCTCAGACCACCTCAAAATTAGCAAGAAAAAAATTTGACACTGCAGAAATAAGATGAACAACCACATCCGTTTATTGGAAGGCAGTGGATCCTGCAATGTTAGGAGCCTATTATATGTTGCTATGAAAGAAAAATGAGGCCACAAGCTTGGCAAGAAGAAGTTAATAGAACTATTTAAAAACTCATGGACAGCTTGACTATGTGGCCACAATGAAGGAACAAAGCCAGCATAAATCGTACAACCAAAACAGTGAAGGTCAGAAAGCAGGAACTACAGTATATCAAATTAAAAGCCTCTCAGTATTAACTTCTGTCAGTAGAATCACAGCCAGGTTTACAAAATCCTAAGCCCTGGAATTGATTTCATAAGCTAAGAAGATTTGCAGTGCATGCATTAACGTCATAAGTACTTGCCTGCCATAATTGGGCCTCAACACCCTCCACAGACGCAGCACCTTTCTTTACTTCTTCTGCTAGTTTCTCTACATGCCCATACATGGAGTAGTAACTGTACAAGCAATGCAAATATTACATTTTGTACATACACGTACAGCTTGCAGAAGCTTGCACAATAATTTACTTCAGTGATGAAATCGGAAAGACAATAAAAATAGTAAAAAGAAATAGAGCAGACCAGAACTGTTACCATTTTCAATTTGAACATTTAGTTGACACCAACTAATTTATGTCGTCTTTGTCAATTGGAAAATGAAATCATAAAAGCTAATGACATAAAGCCATTTTGCTTACAGGATTCTCCTTTTCTTCTTACTTTCTCTAATAAAATAGCAAACAGATAGGTTGACAAAGACAAACCCTTGTAAGGTTGTGTGGACTGGATAGTTTTGTGGACTCAACTATCTGTTCAAAAAGGGAGTGATTGTTTGAATCTTATTATAATCTATCAACTATTAATGTATTATTGATGATAGGGTTACAAGGTTCCCACCTCAAGGCATAAATAAAGAAAAGGAAACCTAAGCAATGTAAGGTCACATAAATACGCATCAAGTTAGGCAGAAGTTGAAAAGAATGCACCCAAAGAACTGGTTAGAACTGTGTCTGTTTTACTCTTTGATATTATTACACATCCCTGTGCCTTTAGATATTGTTATGTATGTATTCATATATATGTACTATACGCATTAAGTATCAATATGACCACCGCAAGAAAAGCATTACAGTTCATACATGGAAAGCAGAATATTGACAGCAGTGGACATAAGGTTTGAATGACATCAGATTACTGTTGTTTCGGTATTTGCTATTAGAGACATGTAGAGACATGGGGAACACTAGCAAAGGGTGATAAATATCATTTTCAATTTTATTCAGTAGTCTATTTTCAATTAACGATAAGCGTCTTCTACAAATGACAATGCTTGTTTTCAACGCCCCTTCATAAGGACAAAACTTCGCAAATAGGACTGAGTGTCATTATCCTGCACTGCAAAGGAAGGATTAATTGAAATCTTCTACTGGTACTTACAAGTCCAAAAACAAAATACGGAAGCTTTTTGTAAATAAAGCAATAGGAATGAGCGCTATGCTTCAGTAACTGAACCTTTTTAATTAGCACTAATTCTATTAACAGGGTTGCCAAAGTGGCTCGACATCAACCCAGTTAGAAGGTTAGCAGGTGAAGTGCCAAATGGGTTTCCATTGTGTCTACTGTTATTCCAACTATGCAGATATTGATAATGTAGACGGTGAAGTTTACATTTAGTTAACATGATTGGTCCCAAAATATATTTGATACATTTTTGAAAAAATAAGACTATCATGGTAATTAATTTTCAAAGACAAAATTGATTGCAAAGGCGAGCAATATGGTAGTTAAATACAAAATTGAAGCAAACGAAGAAATGGATGATAAGTGTGATAAGCATGTTTTTTGCAGGCGATGATTCTGACGACTGCCAAAGAAATGCGGAACAATCTAAAAAAGATCACTAGAACTTATGAAAAAGACAATTTCTCCTAAACTTATTCTTCGGATTCATGAACCAATTAGCGACAGACACAGTGGCTTACGCGACATTCATGGCTCGCAATTCACATCCCAAAATGTCGGACAAGAAAAGGCTATGCTTCCCCCACTGTTCAAGTTAACCAATCTCAAAACGAAGCAGAAAAACAACGTACTTCAAAAAGGAATGTATCAGATCCAGGAAAACTACACGTTGGTAGATCAAATCCAAGATCGTCGATGAGCAAGATGAAAAGCAAAATCTCACAGAATAAAGAGCGTAAATCAGCGATTGAAAGTAAAGATCAACAAGTCGACTCAGCAAAACTTCAAATCTGTGATTACACGAAAGTAATTATAAACGTACACAATGTAGACTTTGACCGCCATTGAAGTGTTCGTGTGTCTTCCTCTTTCTCTCTCGATGGTTCTCTTCTCTTCTCTGCTTGACGACGCTAATGCTGACCAATGCCGAAATGGTGTGGAGCACAGGACGTATTTATAGTTGCACATCACAGAGTAATTATTATTATTAATTAATAACCACTGTTTTGTAAATTAATTAATTTAACTTTCTAAAATTTGTATAAAGAATTAAAATGATTGATGATGATAGGGTGGTGTCAGCTTCATCATCATTCCAGAATTTGTCAAATTAAGAAGCTTTTTTTTAATTAAAAAAAGTCAAATTAGGAAGCTTTTCTTTTGGAGCGAGAAATATTGGATATATTTTCTATATAGATAGAATTTTAATAAAGATTATCCAGTCAATTTGTTACAATCTGATGATGTACAAAATTTTAAATGTACATTTTTATTTTATAATTACTTTGAATAAAATGCCTCCAACTTGAATGTGATTTTTATTTTAAACCAAATTAGTGATATTCCGTTTTTCTAACTCTTAATATTTTTTTTTTATAAATCACATTCAAGTTGGAGGGAGAATAAAAAATTTGTTGAATAGAATTGAGAATAAAAAATGAGGCGGATTATATATTTTATATATTACCAAATTACAATTGACTAAAATAAATTACGTTGCAGCGTGCTGGTTGGGTTTGACCCTGTGGGGAGGACAGCTTTAGTAGGATAATGATGAGATTTTGACGTCATCTGAATTTAAAGACAAAAACAAAATCATGATATGTCAAAAAAAGTTGAAAGGCAAAAAACAGGCATCAAGTTTTGTGGGATGGAATTCACATTTGTCAACATCTAAAACCGTTAATTTTTGTTTTTGATGTATGAAATGATGCTGTCATAATGATTTGGATGGCGTTTGGCTCTATAGTTTTAAAAAAAAAAAAAAAGAAAAAGAAAAAGGAGAATGTTATTGAGTGATCTTGCGAAAACAATGGCAATGTCATATAATTATGAAAACTCTTTTACATATTTATAGATTTATAGTACTAAGATGAAGATATGTTTTAGTATAAAAAAGTTTAAAACATCTACTACATAAATGCAATATGTTATCATATAACATAGGACTAGGTGTTTAGATATTGATAACAAAAACCATTGTTTTCGAGAAGCCTATGTTCCGGTCAAAAAAGATAAGCCTATGTGACTTTGTTCTGTTAAGACTATCAACTTTGTACATGGACTAACAATATTAATAAAATGAAATAAAAATATTTAATTAATAGAAAAATGTATAGATATTAAATTAAAAATCAAGAGATAGTATAAGTAAGTACCTGTAAAATGTTTTTTTTTTGTTACTTTTAATTAATTGCAGTGAGATTAATGGCTAATTTGAAATGACAATTAAAATCTTTAAAAACAACAAACAACTTTTTAATTATAATTCACGGAATAAGAAGTAAGTATATGAAAAGAGTCTTATTCTAATTTATATGAAAGTATTTATATTACCATTAATTCTTAATATAAAACCTCATTTGACTTTTATTTTGATCTTAAATATAAATCCATAATCCATTTTATCTCTTATATTTATTTATTTTTTCAAGATAGTCTTTCTAATAACTGTAGTTGTGACCAATAAATTTGATTAACAAAGATATTTAAAAAAACACTTATTTATTATAAATAACTAATTTAATTTATTTTCTTAATCTATTTAAATTAATTGACTAATTTTTATATTTAGTGCTAGAGGTAGTATTAAACAGCTCCACACAAATGATGGAAATAAAGATGAAATATGAAAGAGGATGTAAGAGGTGAGGTGTAGTGAGAGGGCCAATTAATGAAGTCCAATTTGCAGGGGTCAATAAAATGCAACATACTATTTTTTTTTTTTGGTATGCACTGGGGTATCCATCAGAACGAGCCCAATGACTAATCCCTCGAGTACTGTCGGGCCCATGATGGGGGTGACTCTCCCAAACACACTTGCTCCATTCCTATCCCTCCAGGAATCGAACCCTAGAGGTGATGGTTAAGGGAACACGACTCCCTTACCAGTCGTGCCAGCGTGCGCTGGTAAAATGCAACATACTATTGGTTGTCTTCCTGTCTTGCCATATAAGTGGCAGGATTCTGGAAAACGGGTCAAAGGCCATCATATTGTCAGGATTCAAACACCAGCGTGGCCTCACCCACCCACCCAACATTGCCTTATTTTAATCATTCATTTCACACTACAACTTTAAAAAATGGTGCTGTAATTAATGATCCTTCTGTGTTTGTTCATGAATCTGTGCTTTCTTTCTTAGTCTAATCGAATCGATTTCACATTTAGAGACGCAACAGATAGGAGCCGGAGACATGGAACGAAGGTGGGAGCAGCCAGCTTCCGCTCAGACTATATGACATTATCAATGCCTCATGGCCTACGTCCCTCAAGCATGGTCAAACATTCAACTTTGGGTTTGGTCAACTCTGAATTCTCTCTCCATCCTTCTAGAGAGATCTCTTTTTATTCAAGTCATTTAAATTCCATAAATCCCATTAGTGTCTTTTTCTTATTGTTATACGTAGGAGTTTCTCACATACTAATAGAAGTATTAAATATATGAATTCTTTCACTCTTGTTCTTATTAAGGAGAGCATTGAATACTAATTTTTTTTCCCTTACTCATTTCCTCTTTCTTCACCTTTGTTATAATTAATAAGAGTATAATTGAAAGTACAGTATTAAAGCTGGTGCAAGTGATAAATAAAGAAGAACAAAATCTTTTCACAGAAGTGAAAAATAATAAAGACTAGAGTGGTACTCCATTTGGTTCAAAATATAAAATAAACTTTATCTATTCACGTTTATTAAGAAATTAATCAAAATTACTTTAAAACAATAATATGTAAGGTATTTATTTATTTTTCAAAATATGCCCTTATTAATGAAAAGAATAAATAAAAGATGTAATAAATAAATCAAAGAGAAAGAGAATATATTAGGTAAAATTAGAAAAAACTCACCAAATACTTAGACAAAAGTAAATGTTATTCCATTAAAAAAAACCAAGTCTTTCCAACAAAGTTTAGCTTATATTTTGAACCGAAAAGAGCACAACATAAGTCATTTTATTTAATTCATCAAAATCAAAAAATGACAGTTAGTTCCTTAAATTTATCCTAAATTAAAAATTTCATTCAATTTTATCCATACTAAATATGGTTGTGAAGGAGAGAAAAAGATAGAAGAAGTTATATTTAAGGATTAATTATGGCACCAAATTGATAAATATCAAGTATTAATTACTTTCCAAACAACTTATTTTTAGACAAAGTTTTACTCCCCCATCTTAAATGCAACATTAATTTTGTAATCTAATTTACAATATAAAATGAGTATTACATTTAGGACTGGAGAAGTATTATGGACCAAAAGTACTGCTCCTTATATAAATATGTGTTGGCTAAAAACAATACATATTTATTATAAATAACTAATTTAACTAATTTTCTTAATATATTCAAATTAGTCAACTAACTCTTATATTTAGAACTAGAGGTGTACTCCTCTGATCATTAATATAAGACCCATTTAACTAATTTGATTAGATTAAGGAAGTTAGGTAAGTTAGTTAATTATAAAAAAATGTAACACATTTTTCCTAAAACACCATAACTATCTTTCTTAATACATCATCTCCCTCTTTTACTTAATTATGGTTGAGGGAGTATCTATAGGGGTAATTTAGAGAAAATTGATAAATATGAAAAATGGATCTTATATTTAGAACTAAAACCAATTCAACTATTGGGTCCTATATTAAAGACCGGAGGAGTAGTAAATAAAGAATAAAATTATACTACCTCCGGTCTAAATTATAAAACCTTATTTGTAATTTACAAACGAAGTTTTATAATTAATCAAACCTTCACATGGTGTTCACATTACCCTATAACTTTATTGGTTCGCGTGTTGTTCGATATATGCGGCAAAGGATGACCCTTATTGCCCTAGTTGGCCATCACCATCCTCCACCTCTCTTCACTTTTCTTTCCAATAGTTTTTGAAACAACTAAAATTGGATATATTAATGAGTTGAGTATATAGTAAAAAGAGTTAGTTTGTCATAACATGATGAACTAAGACCCAACTTCCTGTTGAGAAAGGTGTTCACACTAAATGCTCAATAATATCTTGAATTAAATTACTTCCAATAATAGAATATTTGTAGGTAATGAAAAAAAAAAAAACCTAAACATCTTAAAAAATGTGTTTACAGATATGTATCATTTTGTACTTTTCATCTCATTACTATATATAAGTTGTCTCTAACTAACTTACGGAAGTTAACATAAATTAAAACAACGAAATTGTCTTAAATTTGAATCACTTTTCATTTTTACTTCCAACAAAACATTATCATTAATTATTTTCATAGTTACATTAGAACATAGTCAACAGGATGTTTTAGGGGTGGAGTAATAGTTAGTAGACAAGATTTACAAGGTTAGATGACAAAATAATTTTCGTTTTCATTTGCAGTTAATCATTAGATTTTGCTTTTGCCCTTCACGATGCAAACAAACTGACCTTTGAATATAAAGTTTTGGGCCAAGCAATGAGGCTCCCCTAATTGGTCCATTCAACAATCAGCACACACATATATGGGCCTTTATTCACTTTCATTACCCATCTGACCCAACACGTGATCCGACACATCTATCAATGACGAAAAATTTTGCTGGCAAAAAAAACAAAAACAAGAGAAGCAAAGAAAAGAAAAATTTAGACATATTTCCTTCGTTAAAAAAAAAAAAAGAGTAAAGAAACTTCTTGATACATCCAATCATCTTCCTTGTGCTTCCGGCCAGACCTCTGGCATTTGAGGCGACACAGCAGTAGTAGCCACCGGCCAGCATGCCAGCTGGTTAGCCGGTGAGCGACCACGACGGGGGATGGGGGCTGGCCGCTTACTTAGCCAACTACTTACTATATTAATATAAGATTTAGTTAATTAATTTTTTTTTAAAAAAAGTATTTTGAAGTATTTATATTTTTTGTTTTTCTCTAAACTGATTTGACTCATTTATAAATTAATACTACCTCCGACCTTAATTATAAGACCCAGTTGACTAATTTGAGGAGATTAAGGAAAGAAGTTAAGTTAGTTATTTGTAATAAATAGGTATTGTCTTTTCTAAAATATCCTTACTAATTAACTATATTGGCTAGAACTACAATTATTAGAAGGACTATCTTGGAAAAAAATACATAAATATGAGAGACAAAGTGGATTGGGGTCTTATATTTAGGATCAAAATAAAAGTCAAACAGGGTCTTATAATAAGGACCGGAGGTAGTATATAATCTAATGATACATATAAGTATTTTAGAGAGATAATATTATATATGTTATAATTAAGTAATTTAGTATCTTCCTTAATATCTTTAAATTAGTTAAATGAATCTTGTATTTAGGATCAAAAGTAAGCAGTACTTTATGAATATTACGACTAAATGAGAGGAAAAGAAGGTCCAGAGCCGCTAACTTTATGTAAAGAATAATTATACCAGGAGTGAAACTAAATGGACGAGAAAATTGAAGACTAAGCTTCGCTATAAATAATAAATAAATTGAACAATATCAAAAGTTTATACAGCCCTCATGAATTGAGGGGGGGGGAAAAAAAAAAAGGGAAGGAAAAAACCAGGGAACCGTTGGCCTGTCCAAAAATTCTGGCTTCTGTACAGAGATAGTAAATAGATAGTCTTTCCAGTAAAATCTGTGCTTGCTCCTCTTCTCAATAGGTCATCGTGCTTCTGGTAATGTAACAGTTGATTCATTGGTTGAACTATTTTCCATTTGGGCTAAGAAGAAATTGGGTTCAGTGAAATCTTTCTTGGTGTAGAAAGCAGGCTCCTTAGGATGAGCCAATTTTGTTCCACTCCTCAACATTAGGACCACAGAAGACATGGTTGGCCTATCTTCTGGGTGTCGCTGGACACACAAGAGGCCAATATGGATGCAACGTTGTACTTCTGATAGAATGCAAGATTCCTCTATCTTTGAGTCAATTAGTTCAAAATCTCTTCCTTCTTTCCACAGACTCCAAGCCTGAACCATAACAAGAAAATCATCAGTCACTTCCTTCCCTTCTGTAATTATAGTGAGGGGCTGTCCTTGGACAAAGCTGGAGACTTTATCTTCTCCCCACCAACCTGCTTCATTTAGTATTTGCAAAAACTGGTAAATTTCTTTTCTAAGTTTGTGCTTAGGTTCTCTGGTAAAGCACAATATGTGCAGAAGCTTTTTTGAAACAATCAATCATGTAGTGTAAAGATGTAAAAAGTATTTAATGTCAAGCTTTCATTGAAGAATTTGATATCAAAGATTTGATAAATTGCACCTAAGTCCCCGTGTGTTTCTAGAGCAAATTGAACCTTGGTTGGTGAAGAGAGATGCTGCTCTTTACCAAATGGACGAACTGCCTGAGAGTTCACATTTCTGTTTGAGATATCAAAATTAAACTTTTTGTGACATGCTTACATGAGATATAAGGTTAAGGGATTGGTCGGGATGATAAAACCCTCGGCTTTTCTTCCCGCTAATAATCTCTAGTATCAACACTCCAAAACTAAATGTATCAGACTTTATAGAGAAAAGCCCATCAGCTGCATATTCTGGTGCCATGTACCCGCTGTAACTTACCATCAAGACAATGTTAAAGAAGATTGAAAAAATGAATATAAAAAGCTTGTTAGATTGGTATTGAGATGCTCACTAAGTCCCAATTACTCGCTCTGTGTAGTCTTCAATTTGGTTTCCTCCAAAGATTTTAGCAATGCCAAAATCTGATATTTTTGGGTTTAACTTGTCATCCAATAATATATTACTTGGTTTGAGATCCCTATGAATAATCCTCAATCTCGAATCTTGATGGAGATAAAGAAGACCTCGAGCAATTCCACAAATAATGTTGAAGCGCTGAGGCCAATGTAGCACCTTGCCTTTGGTGTCATCTATTTTTATGAAAGTAAGTTAGTTGTCTAATTTGAACTTTTCAAAGTTGGTTAAAGCATCAGAAGTGATACTAGTCTATCCTATTAAAAGCTTTGTTGAAATGTTCATACCAAAAATGTAGTAGTCCAAGCTGCTGTTAGGCATGTACTCATACACCAGCATTTTGTCCTCCCCTTCAATGCAACAACCAAGAAGCTTTACAAGATTTCGGTGCTGAAGTTTCACTATCAATTTAACTTCATTTTTGAACTCAGCCATTCCTTGTCCTGATCTTTTTGAAAGCCTCTTCACAGCAATTTCTTGCCCATGTACTAGTCTTCCCTGCACATTGACATATTCAAGTACATTGCTGTAACCTCTTCAAATATTGTTATCTTAGCACCTGCATATAGAGTGAGTTACCTTGTATACAGGTCCAAAACCTCCTTCTCCAATCTTGTTCTCCTCTGAGAAGTTATTGGTGGCAGTAGCTAGAGCAGAAAAATCAAGCAATGGGAGATCCAAATCATCAACCCTGGCCCCTTCGTTCTGATCTTTGTTTTCTGGTTTCTCTGACAAAATGGAGAAAAAGTTCTGTTTAGTCACAATTATAATGCACTTAATGGTTCGAGGAATTTTTTTAATACTTAGGCTCTTACGCCACCCCATCCCCACTAGCTCTAAAGTCCAATCTAGTCTTGATTAATTTACCTGTCTTCTTCCTCTGGTCACAGTAGATATAAGAACAAAAACCGAGTAAAAGCATCGCAGAAATTGACCCCAAGGTTGAGACGACTATTATAGTCAGCTTCTTCTTGCTCCTACGCACTTCCCCTTGAAGGTCGAATTTGATTGAATACAATAAGTAAAATAAAACTAATTGAATGAATAACATCAATGTTGAAGAATTACTTAAAATGCAACATACAGAGTGCTTACCTAATTCTACAGCAGCCATTCGAACATACAAATCCTGCCCACCACCCGAAAACTGTCTAATATCAATTAGATCACCAAACCACATGGCACAGCCACTACCTTGTCCTCTGATGTCTGAATTCGTATAGGCCATGCAAGAACAATTGTTCAAGCATTTGTTTCTGCATCCTTCTAGAGTGATCGTCTCATCCACCCAAGTATGTGCAGTATCCGGTAGCTTCAAATTACTCAATTTGACAAAGCCATCCTTGCAGCTTAGCGGTTTATTCCGGACACATCCTTGAGACCAATCCATGGAGTTCCAATTTTTTGGTGACTTTGGCCTGAACCCTTTCAAGCATTGACAAACTGGGGATCCTGAAATTGTACAGATTCCATAAGCTCCACAGAGGCCGTAACTATCACAATAGTCCAATGGCACTGTTTGATATAGCCTCCAAACTTGTTGATCTTCTATCCACACAAAACGTTGACGAGCCTGAGTTGTTATGTTCAATACCTGTCTTGAGATTACAGAATGATTGTTGAGCTGATACGTGAAGTAAATCTCATCCTTATTAGAGACAAACTGGTAATCATAAATGGGGTTAGCCTTGATTTGTGGTGAACCACTTGGACGAAGGCCGTTCCATGGTCCAGCTCGGTAGAATTTCCGGGTTCCCTTCATCATATAGGCATCAGGATAATTATTGAGCACCATTCCCCAAGAGAAATCTCCTGTGGAAGGATCATCTGGACTCTTCCAAGCTACAAGACGCCTATTTAGACCAGTTCTTAAGTCCCACCCAAATTTCATACCTGGTAAGAATGTATCAGTTGGGTAATCAAAACTCTGCCACAAATATGTTTCTGGGTTTGCTTCTTTATCCTCTCTAACCACAAGATTTCCAGATTCCAATAGACTGGCTACTGGATTTTGTGGGTTTTTCACAGAAGTTGTGGACCAAACGACTGTGTGGTTTTGAGCGACGACGAGATTTCCAGTGCTGTTTAGTGTTAAGATGCCGGTAGAATCGTTGATAGGGTTGTTGCGATTTGCGACCCAAACTACCGTTTGAATTGGGATATTCTTGTACCATATTCCCAGGTAGCGTTTGCTGGAATTTCCAGGACTGAAAAATCCGAGTTCAAAGGTTCCACTTTCGGAAACTAAGGTTACACCATCTCTAATGGATTGAGACTGAGAAATGAAGTCTAATGCTAAGGAAACTTTCATATATAGGAGAAGTATACAAGCAATAGTAATAATACTTGCAAAATGATGAAAGCCCATCAAATTTCAGCCTTTTCAGCACTCGGCAAATTGGTCTAGAAGATTGAACAGAGGAATACAGTTTCAGATTTCCGTCGTGCAATTAACACCTTGAGATTTTTTGTGACGGACTACGCCGGGCATCAAAATTCAAAAGTCAACTTGACTCAGAATGAGTCGGAGGATTCAGCTACAATAATAACTTACTTGTCTTCTTTTTATCTTTAGATATGTGGGCTTTTTTTGACCAGTCATCTTTCTCGAAAGAAAAGAATATACTTATTACGACTTGGGGAAAATGGTAATAGGTTACCATTAAAAAAAATTAAATATAAAAAAATCTCTTAAAATTATCAAATTAATCTGAAGTCTCAAAAGACTATTTATTTAATTACTAAAATACCTTTATTTTTTTAAAGTATGCATTAACAATTGAAAGTGTAGTCATTAACAACTTAATAACTATCGTGATAGGTACTAACAAATAAAATCTTTTGCAATAAAGTCTCTTGAAACTTTAGAATAATTTGATAATTTTAAGGAACTTTTTTGTTTTTAATTTTTTAGAAGGGACATTATTGTAATTTTTCCTTTGACTTTTTCATAACTTTATTTATAATTGTATATTTTTAAAATTAAAAGAATAACTCGAAAAACTTCTCAACATATTATATGCACAAAATACTAATGATTATCTAACAAAATAACCCCCCCCCCCCCCAGTTTATATGTGTGCAATGCGCGCACTATTGCATATGTTAATATAGTTTTTCTGGTCAATTTTAAAGTCTTGCTTGGTGGATATTTCTACGTAAAGAGGTTCCTCCTTCTCTAGTCATCATTTTATTTATATAAAAAGAATTCGTTGCAGCTTCTTTATTTTTTTCATAATATAAATAATATGGATTAATATGCACTCACTCTTCATTTATGATTTATCCTCTTTTTACAATTTTTTATTTTTTTAAGGCTAAATTATAAGAAAAATCTCACAAAAATACCATTTGAATTTTAAAATATTAAATCAATCTTGTTTCTTATATTTTTAATAGCTACTGACTACACCTCACAAACAAATAACAATATATATATTTTTAGGAATCCTCATTTGAGATTTCGAGATTCAAGTAGTATTTTGTAGGTTTTTTTCCCCCTAAATAATACGCAGCTCCTTAATTTTGGACCTCTGACAAATGATTTTTGAAATTTTACATTGAATCTCCTAAACTCTTATGTTTATGTAAATAACCCCCATGTAGTTAATTTTGTACATAACTTATCTACACACAACTTAAAATTTAAAAATAAAGTTTGGTCCTTAATATAAGAACTAGTTGACTAATTTGAGTAGATTAATAAAACTAGTTAAATTAGTTATTTGTAATAAATATGTATTGTTTTTCCTAAAATATCCTTGTTAATTAAATATATTGACTAGAACTACTATTATTATAAAGACTACTTTGAAAAAGAAGAATAAATATAAGAGATAAAATAGATTAGAATTTTTATATTTAGGACTAAAATAAAAATTAAGAACTGAATGTAGTATATAATTGATAGCAGGGGGTCACGTGCATAGATTTGAAAAGCTTAGGAAGATTTATTATTAAGTTCTAAATATTAAGGGAACTATTTCTGTACAGCGACTTTTATAATTTAATCCTTTTTAGTGGTTTGTAAAATTTAAACTCATTATTTTTTTTCCCTAAGAAATGTAATATTGAGTCCTTTTAGTGACCTCAATTTTGGGTGTTATGTGGAGAAGGCTTACGCTATACTACTTTTGGTCCTTAATATAAAAATTAGTTTGACTTTTAATTTGGTTCGAAATATAAGATCCCAATATATTTTATCTCTCATATTTATTTATTTATTTTAAATAATCTTTGTACTAGTTACGCATTTTAAAGGTTCAATCGAATAACCGTTTTAACTAATACATGATTAGTAAGGGTTTTCTAATTATTATAAATAATTAACTTAACAAACTTTCTTAATCTACTCAAATTAATCAACTAGCTCTTATATTAAAGATGGGGTTAGTACAACTCAAAATTGACCTTGATACTTGCCCAAAAAAAAACAAAAGCGAGATTGAAGGCACGGTTACTTGGAGGATAAGAATCTAGACTTTAGATGCCCCACTGATATCAAATTCCATAGCATACATCAAATCAATGTGGAAATATTCAAGCATAATGGAAAACGGAAGGGGACAATATTTGCATTTAGATCCAATAAAACCAAGGAGAGATTCAAATACATATATTTCTTTGTGTTTTTTCATTCAAACACGCCCCTTATGGTCGGTCTTCAATTTTGGCTCTGGCATGACATCTTACCATCAAAGTAACACCCTTTTCTTTGTCCTGCTTCAGAAGTTAAACTCTAAAAGGTTTCTCATTGTTGAAGTCTACAATATACGGCTCAATTTTTCTTGACTAGGCCACTTGAAGCCTTTCAGACTGGTACTAAATCTATTTGCGCTCGACTTCCAACCTTGCTTAGAACCATAAAAAATGTTCACTAGAAGCAACAAGGATCAAACCCTTCTCTGCATAATCAAAACAGGTTTCAACCTATCTCGGAAAAATTTTGGTTGTTCATGCTAACATCCACTTCGTCTTTTCAGAACTCATGAATTACCTACAGCAGAGTGAAGTTGAATTGACAAGAAACTTGATGACCAAGAAATTTAATATATAAATGAAATAATATCAAAATTTTGATTGTCCACATAATCTACATACAAGTTTACTCACTGCTGTGAAGTGGAAAAATAAACCCTTCTTCCTATTGGATATTTGGTTGCTTCTCTTCTGCGTAGCTCCACTTGTGCCCATCCTTGTGTACAGATTTTAATATCATCGAGCTTCTAACAAGGTAATGGTTACTTCATTGGTAGAGTTCATTTCCATTTGACTTGTGTAGGAGTTTGTTTCAACGAAGTCCTTCTTTGTATAGAAACCAGGCGCTTTAGGTTGAGGCAATTCAGTTTCACTTCCCAACATTAGAACCACAGAAGGCATGGTGGGCCTATCCTCTGGGTAGTGTTGGACACACAAGAGACCAACATGAATACAACGTAGTACTTTCGATAGATTGCATGATTCCACCAAGTTTGAGTCTATCAGTTCTGTTGATCTTCCTTCTTTCCATAGATTCCAAGCCTGATTCATAACAAACAATTGTTAGTCACAAATTTTGGTCTTTGTTCTTTTTCGATGTTACCTGTCATTTTCATCACACAGAATATGATACTACCTCTTGTACTTAATATAATAACTAGTTAACTAATTTGAGTAAATTAAAAAATTAGTTATGTTAATTATTTGTAATAAATATATATTGTCTTTTCTAAAATATTCTTGATAATCAAGTGTATTGGCTGTAACTGCCATTATTACAAGGATTACCTTTAAAAAAGAGGATAAATATGAGGGACAAAGTAGATTAGAGTGTTATATTTAAAATCAAAATAAAAGTCCAACGAGTTTTTATATTAAGGATCGGAGGTAATATTTTCAAGAAAATTAGTCATGTATTGAATTGGAAAAAGCATTTAGATCTTGTTTGATACAAGACATTGAGAATTAAAGATAAAGATTGTAATTGAGATTGAGAAAAACTATTAAAAAAGTACTCCTCAGGTCTTTAATATAGGATCTAATTATTGAGTTGATTTTTATCCTAAATATAAGACTTATTTCTCATATTTATCAATTTTTTCTAAATTACCCCTATAGATACTCTCTCAACTATAATCAAATAGAAGAGGAAGAGAGGCTATTAAGAAATATGATTATGGTGCTTTAGAAAAACATGTCATATTTCTTATAATTAACTAACTTACTTAACTTCTTAATCTAATCAAACTAGTTAAATAGGTATTATATTAAGGACCGGAGGAGTATTTAGTATGAGTAATTTGTTGTTAGATGAAATTCAGCAAACTCATGAAAGAGGGATTGGAGAATACCACCACTTCCCATAGTATTCCTCAAAATCATCTACATGGGTTTATCCAATTCCATGTAATAAACAATTTTTTATATTAAACATTTTTTAATATATTTTTTCAATCCCAGTTGTAATCCTTACTTCTCATTTTCAATACTTCATACCAAACAGGACCTTAGTGTCATAAATTGATAGTGAAAAAGCAGAAAACTGCACTGATGTTCTAAGATATCAAAACTGAGGCTTAGTACAATATGCTTACGTGACCAATTAGGTTGAGGGAGTGGTTTGGATGATAGAACCCTCTACTTCTCTTTCCACTTATAATCTCCAACAACAATATCCCAAAACTAAAAGCATCCGACTTCACGGAGAAAAGGCCGTCTATGGCATATTCTGGTGCCATATATCCGCTGCAAAATGCCAATAGAGCAATGGTGAAAGAAGATTTAGAAACAAATATAGGGAAGTTATAAGCTTGGTATTCAGATACTTACTAAGTGCCAACTACTCGCTTTGTGTTTCCTTCTATTTGGTCCCCTCCAAAAATTCTAGCAATGCCAAAATCTGATATTTTTGGATTTAATTTATCATCAAGTAAGATATTACTTGCTTTAAGATCTCGGTGAATAATCCTTAATCTAGAATCTTGATGAAGATAGACAAGACCCCTAGCAATTCCACAAATAATATGGAATCGTTTAGACCAATCTAGCACTTTGCCTTTCTCATCATCTGCTCATCAAAACAACATTAAATCATGTGACTTGAATTATTCAATTTCAATAATTCAAGTTTGATAAACATTATATTGATATAGATACCATTTCATTTGTCTACCTAATAAAAGCTATCTTGAAACGTTCATACCGAAAATGAAACAGTCCAAGCTGCCATTTGGCATGTACTCATACACCAGCATTTTGTCTTCTCCTTGGGTGCAACAACCAATAAGCTTGACAAGATTGCGGTGCTGGAGTTTCGCTATCAGTTTTACTTCATTCTTGAACTCAACTATTCCTTGCCTTGAGCTTCCTGAAAGCCTCTTAACAGCAATCTCTTGTCCATGGACTAGTTTTCCCTGCATATTGACACAGGTATATTTAGATACTTTTGATAACATTAATACTTGAAATGTTTTTAATCCTAACAAGAGGGGTGAATTACCCTATATACAAGTCCAAAACCTCCTTCTCCAATCTTGTTCTCTAACGAGAAGTCATTGGTGGCAACAGCTATTGTTGAAAAGTCAATCAATGGTAGATCCAGATCATCCTCGCTTTCTCCCTGGTTTTGGTCTTCTTCATTGTTTTCTGGTTTATCTGAAAAAATGGAAAATGTTCATGATGGTTTATCCAAGGACTAAATTTACCGTTTTTACTTAAGTTTTCAATTGGTTTAGCGTGTAGTTTTATAAATGTTTAGGAAGTCTCGTGCACTAATTTGCTTGATGCATATTTTTCTACATTGCCCTTAGTTGAACTACTTCTGGTGAGAATTTGCTGTTTCTTAAATTTTATCAAACTCTATTGCAGAAAACTTATTCTGGATTCTATACGCATTAACTTCCTCATCAAGCAAAACACACAGATTTTACTCATTTATATCATAACTTCATCTGTTCAAGTCGGTTAGTTTTAGTACATTACTGTCATACCATTGAATTTACCAACAACATCCTCAATTGCATAAGGAAACAAAAACACAGATAATGTGATAAGAAGTTTACCAGTCATCTTCCTCTTCCTCTGGTCTTGGTGGAGATAACAACAAAATCCTAGTAAAAGCATCACGGAAATTCCACCCAAGATTGAGACAATTGCTATTGTCAGTTTCTTCTTGCTCTCACCTTCGTCTTCTTCATGGTTGAATATAATAAAGTGAAAAAAAAGGGGGTAAAATCAAACATCTAAATTAAATTAGTATCCCATAAACATTGAAGCTTGAAGGTTCTTACAAACTCCGCACAAAGTATAGTTCTCACCTAGCTCGGAAATAGCCATTCGAATAAACAGATCCTGCCCATCAGAAGTAGACTGTCTGATATCAATTAAGTCTCCAAACCACATAACACAGCCACTGCCTGCTCCTGATATATTTGAACTTGTATAGGCCATGCAAGAACAATTACTTAGACACGCCTCTCTGCATCTTTCTAGACTCATATTCTGATCTACCCAGGTGTGTTCAGTTTCTGGCACTTTCAACCCAGTCAATCTGATAAACCCATCCTTGCCTCCATTGCTACAGTTCAATGCTTCGTTTCTCACACATCCTCCTGACCAATCCATTGTGTTCCAAGCTTGTGGTATCTTAGGCTTGAACCCTTTCAAACATTGGCAAACAGGTGAGTCACTGATAATGCAATCCCCATTTGGTCCACAGAGGTTATAGTTATCACAATAATCCTTAGGCAGTGACTGATAAGTTATCCAATTTTGATATGCTTCCACCCACACATAACGTATACCCTGAGACTTGGTTTGGTTCATCATCAATCTTGAGATCACAGAAGTGTTATTGAGGCTATAGATGTAGTAAACCTCATCCGGAGTGGATACAAAGTTGAAATCATAAATCGGGTTTGGCTTTAAATCCGGTACGCCACTGAAATATAAACCATTCCAAGGTCCGATTCTCATGAACTTGTCTGATCCCTTCATAAGGAAAAACTCTGGATAGTTATGCAGCAGTAATTCCCAAGAAAACCCACTTGGCGTTGGATCATTTGGGCTCTTCCAAGCAGTTATTTTCCTATGCAGATGATTTTTCAGGTCCCATCCCAGCTTCATCCCAGCAAGTAATGTATTGGAAGGGTGATCGAAGCTTTGCCACAAATAAACTCCTGGGTTTGCTTCATTTACATCTCTTACCACAAAGTTACCAGAATCTAAGAGCTCTGCTACTGGATCTTGAGCCTGCTTTGTTAAATTAGTGTACCAGACGACTGTGTTGTTTTGGGTCAGGACGAGGTTGCCGGTGGCATTTACCGTCAATACGCCAGAGGAGTCGTTTATTGGGTTGATGTTATTTGCTACCCAGACTACAGTTTGTGGGATTTTCTTGTACCAAATTCCCAGGTAGCGTTTGCCAGAGTTTCCTGGGGTGAAGAAACCAAGCTCAAATTTTCCACCTTGGGAAACTAACGTTGTTCTTGAAGCGTCACTGAGGTTTTGGGATTGACGAATGGAACTAACTGCCATGGAAGCTTTGAAACCAGAGAAAAGAACATAAACAACGATGCTCATGAAACAGAGATTGTCCATTGGTTGAGCTTTGAGGGTTCTTGGGATGGATTATAGAGTTATTTTCTGTTCTTGGCAATGCAGAATTGCTTTCTATTTTGGGTACATGCAAAGCAGAATTGTGAAAGCCGCAAGAAACGTCATGCATTGGCTGACTAGAAGTTCAAAAGAATTAAAAGTAGTTTTGCAGGCTGCTATGCAAGTGATCAGGTAGAATAAGAAAAGAAAAAGGAGGAGCTTGGAATGAGGAGGTAGGTGCAAGTCATTTTCAGTTTCTAAACAGAGCATCACCATTCACGTGAAATCATGTTCCAGAAAGGCGAAATGACGTCCAAGGTTCCCCGGCTTATCAGCAAAGGATGGTTAAATTAATGGAAGAATTACAATTAGATTCCAAGAAAAAGATTTAATTACCTTGACAAGTGAAAAATAAACAAGACAAATTTCAGAATGAAGGATGACTATAAGTTCAAACTTATCACTTGTTATTAAAATTTTTTGATAATTAAATTTCTTCTTTAAGATTTCTTATTAATTCTCTTCAAATTAATAGAGCATCACAGTTCACTTGAATTGATCGTCACGTTAATGTTTTAAAAATAACTTGGTTGTTAAAATTCAAATTACGCTTAAAAAAATATAACAAAAATTATTTTTAAATTACACATTCTAAATTTAAAAGATAAAAAAAATAGAGAGAAAGATAATTAAAATAGTCCCTAAAGAAGCTTAAGGTGTGGAAGAAATATTACTTAGTGGAGAGAAAATAGGGGGATAAAAATTAAAGCAAGGTAAAATTTGTGGGTAGAAGAAAGATAAGTTTGAAATTTTATAGGATTAAAAAAAAATGAGAGAGAGAAAAGGAACATTATAATCAATTCAACAGCTAAAACAATACTCCAATGAAAAATATTGGTAAAAAATGAAGAGAGAAGGAGGACAAAAAAGAATAAAATGGAAGGGAAGAGATAAATCTTTACGTCTTCCAATCAAACACATTCTTACGGTAGGATTATAAAATTTTAATAAAAATTGCAGGAAGAAAGGATAAAAAGAAATAAATTACCCATTAAAATTTATCTTCCATTCCCTTCCCTTTTATTGCCTTTGAATCCAACCATAATGTCCAATTTTCTGTGCCCCTCTTTAATTGTTAAACGGTTTTCTTTTTTGGGACCTTAAACTTTTAAAACCTTATATTAATGACGCCTTCAATTAATGTCTGCTTCAAATACTGTGGTCTCAAAAGTCAATTCACCTGGGCTGCGCCGTCTGAACCCTATTCCCATGTGCTTTAAATTCGTTAAAATCGTGCACCGGAAGATTTATTCAATTTGAAAAAAAAAAAAAAATAGTCTGCTAAAAATAAGTTTGTGGAAGAAGTTAATGAATAATCATAATGCCCCTAAGTTAAAAGATTTATTTTAATTTTAAATATAAAACATTAGTTTTTTTATTTTCCTCATTTAATATTTTTCAAATTATTTTAAGAAAAATGATAAAAAAGAAGTGAAAAATTACAAAATTCCAAATCAGACAACATTTTATTTAATATTAAAAATACTAAATTTTCAAATAACAACAAATTTTTGTTGACATTTCTTATTTGATATTTAGTAATTTTCAATTTTTTTGTCATTTTTCCTTATTTTAATTGATTGCATTCACTATTTTTATCTGTAATATTTAATACTAGTTTTACACAATAATAGCAAATGATCAAGTAAATTATTAAATTTTTTAATTTTCATAGTTAACTAAGTCCTTATATTTAGCATTATGCAAAGTAATAAAGTAAGCATAGAAATAAGATGAGACATGGTTTTAATTTAAATAAAATTATACCTTATCGATTTGTATTTACAGACAAAATTACCTACTTTGCACGCATCAAAATGACCGCTTAATGTTTTTTTCTTAAAAAAAAATACATTATTTTTTCACAAATACCCTCCCTTAAATGCCTTTAACTCTCACACCGCCTCTTTCTTAATTAGTTAAAGCACTTTTTTAAAAGAGTACTTTTTTTATAAAAAAAAACAATTAATTATTGCCTAAATTTTAAAAATTCGTAAATCTTGTAAGAATTCTAAAACCTTCTAAAATTTTTCCTATAAAAAAGAATAGAAGAGAGTAAGTCCCTTTTTTAAATAAGACTTTTTTGCAAGGTATTTACTATATATGCGCACAATGGTTGAATTATTATGAATAAATGTTGCGTAAACTGCAAACCAAATCCAATTTATTATATTATTTTGACATTTGGGAGCAGAGTTACGTGAGGAATTAGAACCAAACCCAATCTCTGACCCAAAAATTCCACTTCAATTATCTTACAATCCCAATTTTTAACCCTACACGTGCCACATCATCAACATCACCTAACTAAAATTTTTTAACAGACCGTGCTTCCTTTTTCTGCAGTGTATGTCTCTCCCTGTCCTCTAGGAAACTAAATTACTATTCTAAATCAAGAATTACATGACCTAGATTTAATATTTTATAAAAGCATAATGGGTTAAGATGAATCCGGCATTTTGAAATATTTTTCCTGTACCACTCAGTATTTCTTGCTAATCTGTGGTTCATCTGATATTTTATGATATTTTTTTAATAGTATTTAGTATCCCGCAATATTTTTGTAACAATTTTACCCTTAAAAGTATTTTTCTCAGTAGTAGTGAACATTTTAAATTTAGGATACTTAGTGTTATTAGAAAAATATTTAGAGTGTTGGATACACAAAAAATTATTAGAAAAAAACTTTAAAATTCTGAGTGGTATTAGAAAAATATTTTAGAGTGTTGAATATATAAAAAATTAGTTTAAGCTATTGAGTGTTATTGAAAAAATGTTTTAAGGTGCTAGAGCCAAATGCAACTTAATCCAAGCGTAATTCATATGTTAAAATTTTATAAACAAATAAATAAAAACTATTAAATTTTGTATAATTGATTCAGAATTTAAAGAGGAAATCAGTGGAGTGAGAATTTAGAACCTAGATAACCATGACAGTAATATTGACATACAATTTAATAAATAAACAAATGGAATCATATCAAAATTTGGATTTTTCACATAATATACTACCTTCTGTCTTAATTATAAGACCTTATTTGTAGTCTATAAATAAGGTCTTATAATTAGGACCAGAAGTAGTACAAATTCTAACTTGTATATACAGAAGAAAAACAAGCACTGTTCTCCAAATACTTTTGGCTGCCCCTCTTCTACATAGCTCCACTTGTGCCCATCCTTCTGTGAAGAGTTCAATATCATCGAGCTTCTAATAAAGTAATAGTTAATTCGTTGGTGGAGCTAACTTCCATTTGACTTGTGGGTGAATTGGTTTCAATGAAATCCTTCTTTGTATAGAAACCAGGCACTTTAGGTTGAGCCAATTCAGTTTCACTTCCTAACATTAGAACCACAGAGTGCATGGTAGGCCTATTCTCTGGATATTGTTGGACACACAAGAGACCAACATGAATACAACGTAGTGCTTTTGATAGATTGCATGATTCCACTAAGTTTGAGTCTATCAGTTCTGTTGCATTTCCTTCTTCCCACAGATTCCAAGCCTGTGCCATAGCAGGCAATCGTTAATCATATGTTCTGTTTTCTATCTTCTTGGATGCTACATGTCATGTTTTTATTGGTCAGTTTGAAAATGAAGTTGTATTTTCAAAAGAATCAGTCAAGTCTCTTTACCAACCAGAAAAATTACCTTCAGCTGTCATAGTTTTGTTTAAGATATCAAAATTGGAACTTCATATGATATACTTACATGACCAATCAGGTTAAGGGAGCGATCTGGATGATAAAAGCCTCTACTTCTCTTCCCGCTTATAATCTCTAACAACAATATACCAAAACTGAAGACATCTGACTTTACAGAAAAAAGACCATCTGCTGCATATTCGGGTGCCATATACCCACTACAAAGGACCAGTAAGACAAATGTTGTTAAAGAAGATCAAGAAATAAAATGAATGTAAGAAACTTGGCGTTGAGATACTCACTAAGTGCCAACTACTTGCTTTGTATTTCCTTCAATTTGGTCTGCTCCGAAGATTCTTGCTATGCCAAAATCTGATATTTTTGGAATTAACTTATCATCAAGTAAAACATTACTTGCTTTGAGATCTCGATGAATAATCCTCAATCTAGAATCTTGATGTAGATAAACAAGACCTCGTGCAATTCCACAAATGATGTGGAATCGTTTAGGCCAATCCAGCCACTTACTTTTGGTATCATCTGTGCATAAAAATAACATTAATTCCTGATTTAACAACAACAGATATTATCAAGTGATACTAGCATTATCGCATTAGTCTATCCTAACAAAAAGTTTCATAAAATGTTCATACCAAAAATGAAACTATCCAAGCTCCCATTAGGCATGTATTCATACACCAGCATCTTGTCATCTCCTTGGATGCAACAACCAAAAAGTTTCACAAGATTCCGGTGTTGTAGTTTTGCTATCAATTTTACTTCATTCTTGAACTCATTTATTCCTTGCCTTGAGCTTCCTGAACACCTCTTAACAGCAATCTCTTGCCCGTGTGCTAATTTTCCCTGCATTTCAACGAGCATATTGATACACCTTTTATCCTATGAATACTTAATGCTGCTATATCTTAACACTAGGAGAGTTAATTACCCTATATACACGTCCAAAACCCCCTTCACCAATTTTGTTCTCTGATGAGAAGTTATTAGTGGCAATAGCGAGCGTTGAAAAGTCAAGCACCAGGAGATCCAGATCATCCACACTTTCTCCTCTGTTTTGATCTCCTTCGCTGTCTTTTGGATTATCTGACAAAAAAGAGAAAAAGCTTCTATTTAGCACTTACATGGATAATGTACATGATGGTTTATTCAATGACTAAATTTAGTGCTTTCTACTTTGGTTTTAGGTTGGTTTTGCCCCGAGTTTTATCGTATAAATGATCAGGAAATCACCTGTGCAGTTACTTGATGTAAATTTTTTATACTGTTTTTAGTAGTGGAGCTACTTCACGTGAGAATTTGCTATTTCCAAACTGTTATAAAACTCTATTGCAGCAATCTATTAACTACATCAACAAAACAAACACAAAGATTCATGATTTCATTCGCACACCTAAATTCATCTCTTCAAATTGAGTGGCTTGGTATTTAACTACTCACAACCATTATATTTGTCAACAACAGCCAAATTGTACAAGGAAGCAGAAAACAGAGGAAATTATATGATAAGAAATTTACCAGTCATCTTCCTCATCCTTCGATCTTGGTAGATACAAAAACACAAGCCTAGTAAAAGCACCACAGAAATTGCACCCAAGGTTGAGACAATTATTATTGTCAGCTTCTTCGTTCTCCTACGTTCTTCATCTTCATGGTTAAATATAATTAAACCAGGAAAAAGAGGAGTAAAATCAAAGATCTATACATTCAAGGATTTCTAGAAATCTTCAGAGAGTACTTACCTAGCTCCGAAATAGCCATTCGGATATACAGTTCCTGGTGATCAGACGGAAAGTGTCTGATATCAATTAAATCTCCAAACCACATAACACAGCCACTTCCAGCTCCTGATATATTTTTACTTGTGTAGGCCATGCAAGAACAATTTCTCAGACACCTCTCTCTGCATCCCTCTAGACTCATACTCTGATCAGTCCAAGTGAGTTTAGTTTCTGGCATTTTCAACCCAGTCAATCTGATAAACCCGTCCTTGCTTCCATTATTACAGTTCAATGCTTTATTTCTCACACATCCTCCTGACCAATCCATTGTGTTCCAAGCTTGTGGTATCTTAGGCTTGAATCCTTTCAAGCACTGGCAAACAGGGGAGTCACTGATAATACAATTCCCATTTGGCCCACAGAGGTTATAGTTATCACAATAATCCTTAGGTAGTGACTTATAAATCATCCAATTTTGATCTGCTTCAACCCACACGTAGCGATTGGCCTGAAAAGTGGATTGGTTCATCACCATTCTTGATATCACAGAAGTGTTGTTAAGGCTAAAAGTGTAGTAAACCTCGTCCGAAGTGGATATAAAGTTGAAATTATAGATTGGGTTTGGCTTTAAATCTGGTATGCCACTGAAATATAAACCATTCCAAGGTCCAATTCTCATGAACTTCTTTGATCCCTTCATGAGGAAAAACTCAGGATAGTTGTGAAGCAATAATTCCCAAGAAAACCCACTTGGGGTTGGATCATCTGGGCTCTTCCAAGCTGTCATTTTCCTATTCAAACGTGTTCTCAGGTCCCATCCCAGCTTCATGCCAGGAAGCAATGTATCAGAAGGATAATCGAAACTTTGCCACAAATAAACTTCTGGGTTTGCTTCATTTACATCTCTCACCACAAAATTACCAGAATCCAAGAGCTCTGCTACTGTATCCTGAGCCTGCCTTGTTAAATTCGTGTGCCAAAGGATGGTTTTGTTCTGTGTGAGGACGAGGTTGCCAGTGGCGTTTACCGTTAATACACCGGAGGAGTCGTTAGTCGGGTTAACGCTATTTGCTACCCAGACAACAGTTTGTGGGATTTTCTTGTACCAAATTCCCAGGTAGCGTTTGTCGGAGTTTCCTGGGGTGAAGAAACCAAGCTCAAAGTTTCCACCTTGGGAAATTAAAGTCGTGCCTGAGGCGTCACTGATGTTTTGGGACGGACGGACGGAACTAACTGCCATGGAAGCTTTGAAACCCGAGGCAAGAACATAAACAACGATGCTCATGAAACCGAGAACATCCATGGGTTGAACTTTGAGGTTCTTGGGATGGGTCATAAAACTATTCTCGGTGTTTTGCAATGCAGAAAGAGACATTATAGGCTTGACTATCCACCGCAAAGAATTAAAATATAGTTTTCAGGTTTTGTGTAGGTGAGTGAGCAAGTAGAATAAGCAAAGAAAACAGTTGTGAATAAGTAGGTAGAGGTCATTATCGGTGTAAAACTGAGCAAGCATCACAATTCACACGAACACATGGTTGCAGAAAATTGAAGGCCAAGTCTAAGGTTTTACGCTGCTGTATCAGAAACAGGATCCTTCATTAAATCCTGTGTTTAACGAGTCAGTTATGTGAGATTAGCTACGTACGATGGTTGTAATTATCCTAATGGTAGATGTCAGCATGATATCATGGTTGTTTAAGAATTGGATTCCGTTGTATGCTAATTATGTTGAGTTGATATAAAAATGCATTTACGACACGAGACGATATTTGGGACATAATGATGATGATTTTTAAAATTTCATTACAATTATTTATGTGTAACAAATGAATCAATGCCAAAACAGACCATATTCATTCTTATTAACTAGTGTAACAACTTATTTTTTTCTCGTCTTAAAAATCCAATAGAGTTGTATTACTACCTCCGATCCTAATTATAAAACCCAGTTGACTAATTTGAAGAGATTAAGAAAATAAGTTAAGTTAGTTATTTGTAATAAATATGTGTTGTTTTTCCTAAAATATCCTTACTAATCAACTATATTGGCTAGAACTACCATTATTAAAAGGATTATCTTGGAAAAAAAATACATAAATATAATAGACAAAGTAGATTGTGGTCCTATATTTAGGATCAAAATAAAAATCAAATAAGATCTTATATTAAGGACCGGAGGTAGTATTTTAGAATATTGAATGAGATTTTTCATAAGTTGAAATTGCTTTATTTTTGTGTTGTTGAACTCTGACGATGAAACCAATTAGAAGAATTATTAATTAGAAAAATAGGAAATGGAGACACTAACAACGGTCAAATTCGGTGGTCTTTTTATTTTTATTTTTTGACCCTGAGAGCGACTCAGTAGGGTTGACTTTTTTAATATGCTTCTTGGCATACATTTTTTTTTCTTACATATAAAAACTAAATAATTAATTTGTAAATATTAAAAAAAATTAATTAAAAATATTATCTTTTCTAAAATGTCCTTATTAATCATAATTATTAAAACTACTTCTTGATGAGGCTCTTTAACACGCATTATAGAGATTATTTGGAAACAAAATAGATAAATATTGAAGACAAAGTAAATTTGAGTTTTATATTCTAGATCAAATTAAATCTCCAACTAGATTTTATATTAAGATTGTTTAGCTATTTTTCAAAGAAATATTGTCATTTGAATTTTTCAAGGGGGTAATTTTGTTTCAAGTCTTATATGTCAAAAAAACACACAGAGGAAGAAAGAAAGAACCAGCAGGGAATTATTGTTGGCGTCATTTTGAGAAGACTAATGTAGAGTGTATGCTCTATTTGTACCACGTCGTTGTCTAGTAATAAGTAATAACTGGATTCAAACAGAGTGGGCCAGAAAACGATAGCTGGAGCGCGCCATTCACCTGCTTAATTGCGATGCTGTCCCCATTAACACCCCCTTCTGACTCGTTCATGACATAAGCTATGTACTCCCCCCGGTCCTCTATATTATAGCCTCTGGTCGTCAAGATAAGAACTACTTATCATAAATATAAAATTTTAATTTATTTTATTTATCATATTTATTTATTTATTTTTTAAAATAGTCCCTTGATGATTGTATATATTAAAAAGTCTCCATTCTAATGTACCTAATTAATAAAAATATTTTAAGAAAAGCAATACTCATTTATTACAAATAACTAATCTAATAAATTTTTTTAATATTCACAAATTAGTTATCTAGCTTTCATGGATCAGTGACAGTACTTGAATAATTACCAACCGCAATCAGGTTTAACGGAAGGAATTAGATTTTCATAACTTGACAAACAAAGTATGAATTTTCAGACGATTGGAAGAGATACTTACATTTAGTACCATACAGTACTTAGCCTCCAAGATTAAGCGGTGACCCTGAATAAGAAACTATAGACTCCCTGGAAGAGCGGAGGATCAATTATTAGCCTTGATTAGGTTCATTCTCTGCTTATTAAGAGTCAATTGTGGGTCACCTTTGTAATATTCACATATGCGATGGTACTTTCAAACTTTCAGACTTTGAAACACCAATGAGACTTGCCAATGTTCAGCATCAATTCAGCATATCCGATAGAATTATTAGTCAAACCGTCCTCTGATATTGTTATTTGTCGAACCCCACCTTGAAAATTTTGTCATATAACAGAGTTTCCAGTGCTAAATATACACGAGTTAATTCATGCATATCATCATCTTCATCATCATTAATATTAATGAGATGTTTTCAAGGAATTTCCTTGAAGCTTTGTGTCTATGCTTAGTATGAGAAAACATATAGATCCTTTGATACTTATATTTTAGAAGTGATACTTAACCAAACTTTGAACTTTAATTTTAGTTCATCAACGCAAATCTTGACGTTTCAATCAGCTACAATATCTTCTAGATTCCACGCAATTTACCAAGGCATAGTCTTGTTACTTCTTAATAATCATATCAGAAGCAAAGAGCTATATATAAGCATAGCTTCCTCCCCCTGCCCCCTCCAATTAAAAATATAAGTACCAATGAATTGACATTACAAGCAGGATTGAACTTGTGGTCCCTTCTACTTATAGAGAACCTTTACGTGTCATTAAGTTATAAGACTATTGATTATAAGTATGGCTTAGTGACAAGGAACTACCACAACATTCAAATAATTTTTCAAACTATAAGGATTAAAAAAGAATCCGACACACTTTTTCTTTTTTTAACATGAATCACCTATGAGACAGTGTGCTAATAGAATGTACACGGCTTTAATTTGCAAGAAAAGCATTGAGGAAATGGATTTAGTAGTTATTATGTTAAAGTTGTCTCTTTGTCTTCTTTTCTTAGGTTTTTTTCAGCATTTTATTTGTAGGCTAAGTTTTTGTACTATGTAAAGTCTACTTTATTTAATCATTTTGTCTTTTTCCCAAAAAAAAAAATCGAAGAAATGGATGTGAAGAAGCAAGATAACTCTATCTGGCCTGTGGCAGAGTCATACTTATTTCAGTGCTTGAAGAAGACATCATCTTCATGTCAGAACAATACTCTCCTTCAGCTGACGTCCTTTCTAATAGGAAACCAGGCTTCTTTGGTTCAGGCAAGGCACTCTCACTGCTCAACATTATTAATACTAACGCCATGTTTGGCCTATCCTCAGGATGCAGTTGTACACAAAGAAGAGCCACATGGATGCAACGTAATACTTCTGATAAATTTAAGTTGTCCCCCAAACAAGCATCTATTAGTTCCTTTGAGTTATCCTCCTTCCATAGTCTCCAAGCCTGCACGAATTTAGAGCATCTGTGATCTCAACCAGTGAGTTGCAGCATTGTAGGTAAAAATGAAGTTTGATGTTCTTTGTCACTCACATGGCTGATAAGATTAAAACCGTAGTTTGGATAGGAAGCCCCTCGGTTTTTCTTTCCACTTATTATTTCTAGAAGTAATACACCGAAACTGAATACATCAGATTTAATTGAAAATATTCCTTGGACAGCATATTCTGGCGCCATATAACCACTATAATAAATAACAAAAGAGTTAATAATTGGTAGAAATGTGTAAAACCTGTAACAAGGTAGTGTCACAAATCTTGAGATACTTACTATGTGCCAATCACTTTCTTTGTATTTCCTTCCATTTGATCTCCTCCGAACATTCTTGCAATACCAAAATCAGAAATTTTCGGATTTAAATCCTTATCTAACAGAATATTGCTTGTTTTAAGATCTCTATGTATGATTCTTAACCGAGAATCTTGATGAAGATAGAGAAGTCCTCGAACAATTCCAAATATAATGTGAAAACGTTGTGGCCAATCCAGAGATTTACTTTGTCGAAAATCTGTCAAGTTTCATAGTTATATTAAATCTGAACTTGAAACAAATTAAGACTTTCATAAAGCTGGGTTTCAAATTTTTTCGAAAACATACCAAAAAGAATGGTATCTAAACTTTTGTTGGGCATGTATTCATAGATGAGCATTTTCTCCTCTCTTTGAATGCAACAGCCAAGGACTTTAACAAGATTCCGGTGTTGAAGTTTCGCACACATTATAACTTCATTCTTGAATTCTTCCGATCCTTGTCTAGATGCCTCAGATAACCTTTTGACAGCAATCTCTTGCCCATCTCCCAGTGTACCCTGAAAAATTGACATTCAAAGAAGACTAAATCATGATAAATAGGAGGGCACTGTTTTTCGTTTCTTCTATCTAGAGATGTTGCATATATACCCTGTATACAGGTCCAAAACCACCTTGGCCAAGCTTCTTGTCACTTGAGAAATCATTAGTGGCACGAACAATTGTGGCAACGTCAAAGAAAGGCAACTCTATGTCTTCTTGCTCTCCTTCGTGACTATTCCCGGTCAAAATTTTCTCTGTATCATGTCAAGCAACACTAATAATCTCACCATAATAAAGTACAAAATAGAGGACTTCTAGCATATTGCCACTTAGCCAATAGTAATCAGAAACCAAGACTCTTTCATGCTTCCCTGTCAATGTAATAACTGGTGTGAGATTCACACTGAACACTTGTCAAGTGAATGAAAGTGACAGCTCAATCTTGCAGTGACATGCTTCGGAGATGGTTTTGGACAACTAAAGTTATCTTAGAATCATAATTTGCAGATGGGACTAACATTGAACGAAAATATGTGATTAATCAAATGCATTGTAAATTTAACATCATCTAATGCCTTGACAACACATCCATGTTTTAAAAAAACAGTAATTTTCCCCTTCCAGAAAATGAGATTGCAGGCAGCTGGAAGAACATAGGATGGGGATTTGCTGTCAGTTTTGCAAGCTTCGCTTATAATGAATCCAGTTTCTACTTAAAGGAAATAATAAATAAGATCGTAGTCATTTCATATATAGATCAGCTGCTGAAAGAAATTTCACAAAAATGAATGAATTCATGGAAAGATCATCTGGTTAAGGAAGTGTACCTCTTTGCTTTCTATTCTTCCAATGAACGGAAAAGAAGGCCAAAAGCATCATGAGAACCAAGGAAAAAGTAACTGTTGTTCCCACGACAACCTTTTTCTTATGCTTTTCTGCATCTTCTAGTACTGATTGAGGGAGGAATGAACCAGCACACCATCAATATACTGAGAAATGAAGTAATAGAGCACCAATAGAAAGATTGAAAGTTCATACCAGTATCAGAATAAGCCATTCGAATAAAAAGATCTTGCGAAGGGACTGTAGCCACTCTCAAATCAATAAGATCATCAAACCAAAGGATACAACCACTGCCTCCTGCAGTAATGTACAAGTTTGCATAAGCCTTGCAGGAACAATTTTCCCAGCATTTAGCCTTGCACTCCGAAAGTCTCATACTTGCATTAACCAAGATGTTCTTGTATCTGGCATTTTTAGCCCATTAAATTTTCTGAAACCATCTTTTTCTCTGACCCTACAGCGCCATGGTTCACTGCGCACACATCCCTGAGTCCAGTCCAATGCATCATACTTTTGAGGTGATTTTGGCTTGAATCCTGTTAAACACTGGCAACGTGGTGATTCACTTGCAATACAATTTCCATTGGGGCCACAAGGATTATAACTGTCACAGTTATCTTTTGGTATAGATGAATAAAGTATCCAACTTTTGGTTTGTTCATCCCAGATGTAACGCTGACGAAAATAAACAGTTTGGTTTAGAACAACTCTTGTAATCACAGATTTGTCCTGGAGATTAGAAGTGTAAACCACCTGATGCAAAACCAAAAGAAATGAAACGAAGATGGTCAAACAATTCAAACATCAGTTTCTTTTGTTATCTATGAGACATTTATGAAACATGAATTTGCATAACCACCACCTCGTCTTCATTGACGACAAATTGCAGCTGGAAAAGGGGAGTGGTTTTGCCACCAATGCTGACTCCGTTCCAAGGGCCACTTCTTTGAAATTCTTCTGAGCCCTTCCACATTACTAACTCAGGAATAGGACCAAGGGCGACACCACAAGTGAAGTCTCCAGGAGATGGGTCATCCCAGTTCCTCCAAGCTGTTAGGCGTCGATTCAGCCTAGTTTTCAGGTCCCACCCTATCTTCATTCCTGGTAAAAATGTATCAGAGGGATAATCAAAACTCTGCCATAGGTAGTTTTGAGGATTCTGGTCTTGTTCATTCCTCAGTACTAGGTTTCCTGAGTCTAGAAGCTGTGCAATGGGATTCAAGCCTTGTATCGTTGAGTTTGCTGACCAAATAATAGTCTGGTTCCGGCTGAGAAGCACAAGACGTCCCTCAGTGTTTATGCTCAACATACCTGAGTTGTCTTTGACTGGTTTTTCACGGTTGGCCACCCAAACAACAGTTTTCTGGGGGATGCTCTTGTACCAAATTCCAACATATCGGTGTGTGGAGCCACCAGGGCTGAAGAAGCCCAATTCAAAGATCCCATCTTTAGACACCAAGGTCCTTCCATCAGGGAGCGGCTGATCATGAGTAATAACATCAGATGCAGAAGAAAAGGGAGGGAAGATCAATAGCAGTTTTGTAACAGCAACTATAAGAGAAAGAATGGCCATTATTTTTCTTATATTCAATTCAGAAGATCTCTCAATGCGGAAAGAGGAAAATATGCATACGATTTTGAATGAAGGAAATTTGAATTGCCAAAGCTGGTACTCTGACACAAAAGTAGTGGTGGAGAGAAGGAGGGTGCAGGTGAATAATTTGACCAGGAACTAAGAATTGACAGATAATAAACGATTCTTCAGAGTTCAAACGACCAAAAACTTGAGCTATTCTGGTTCTTCATTTATAGCATATTGCCATGTATCAAAAATCGCTTCCCATCTCTGTCAATCAGGTAGTCGTAATGAACAATGAATTAAAGCGTGTCTACTACTCTATATGAAACCCAGGTGAAGCCTCTTCGGAAAAGTCAAGAAACAATGAATGTCTTGGAGGAAAACTACAGACAAATATCATTGAAGACCTTTACAATTGCAGAAGCTTGGGTCAGGCGTGTTTCACACGTGTGTTGGAAGAATCGGATCCTGAAAGGATGTAGACATGTGGTCTTTGATGTTGATACAATAACCAAGAGAGGGGGGGGGGGGGGGAAGCCGCCTTGTGAACTGTGAACTTCACTCTACTGCCGTTCTTCCCAAAAACACAGCGTAAGAGGATCCAGTAACGCGGGGAGGTTTGTTAAAAAGCACCTTCACATTCGACGAGGAAAATACATGAAAGAAATTTGGGACGATGAGATGAACTGATTTTTTTCCCAATAAATCACGTAGCGATCATTCTAACCAAGCTATTAATATGAAATCCAGTTTATTAATCTAGGAAGATTAAAAATTTAAATAAATTATTTTAAAATATTATATTTATTGCTTTTGTCTAAACTAATTTGTCTGGCTTAATATACTTCCTGATCCTTAATATAAAAGCTGGATAATTAGTTTAAAAAATTAGTGAAGTTAGTTATTTATAATAAATATGTGTTTACTTTTCTAAATGATCCTTATGTAATCATGTATATTAAAACTACTTTTTGCTGAAAACACCTCACAAGCAACAAATATATTTGGAGAAAACATAATAAATTTGAGAGATAAAGTTGATTAAAATATTATATTCAAAATTAAGTCTAAGCTTCAGGCTAGTTCTTATATTTAGGACTGGACGTAGTTTAATCTAATTATACATACAAGTATTTTAAAAAGATTACGTAACATGTGTTATAATTAAGTAATTTTTTTTATCTTCCTTAATTTTCTAAGTGGGTAAGTTGTAGTAGAGAATTTGAATTGGCAGCCTCACAATTAATTTAATGGAAGTATTAGATGTCATTAAGTTACAAAACGCAAACAAACAAACAAACAAACTATTTGTCTTGCAAGGGGACGAATCGCCATCTATCCCATCTCCAGATCAACAGATTTTAGGTTCATAGAATTCAGCTAATATCAATCCAATTATATATATGCTTTATGCCTTATCACGTTTAGGAATTTAGAGCTCCACTTTCATATTTGATGTCAGATTCATTTAACGGGATACATTTTGGGACCCATTTACTTTAATTCAGTGCCTTATTTTTAAAGTCTTTTTAGCTGGCCAAAGTGTTATTTTTAAAGTTAGAGTTCTTTACATTACATTGATCTATGTATTCTACTAAAATGGTGCTTGAGTCAAACATGAAGCCTCGTATTCTGCTGCAATCAACGCTTACTGGTTAAGCATTTTTTTTTTTTTTTTATAGTTTTAGACATAGCGTACATTTATTTTGAAAAAAAGATCACATTTTAAGTCTAAAGAAATGGTAGATTGTAATGTATTAATTAGTTATAACATTTAATTGGTAAAATATAAAAATAAATATATTTTATTTCCAAATTTAAAATATATAAAAGAAAACGAACCTAAATAAAGTAAAATATATTCATATCATATATATTTTTATCCAAAATGTTTATATAAATTTAAAAAAACATAAAAATCATTTATAAATAAAGTAAAATAGATAAGATACTTGTACATTTAGAGTATGTTTAGATTAGCGTTGGGCAAAACTGACTTATAGTCCAACTAACTTTTATAACTGAAATTAGAGTAAAAGTCAGTTAGTATAATGCGATTTATGTTTAGATAGGTGTTTATAAAAAGTCAGTGGAAAAAGTTGAAAGTCGTTTGGATAATTAATAGAAAAGTTAGTTTAATTATAAAATGACTGAAAAAGGCATTAACTTTATTGAGTAGTAGTGTTTGAAATTTTATGTTTTTAAGGTGATAATAGTTTAAAAAAATACATAAAATTATTATGATAAAATATAAATAGTTTATTTGTGAAATTATAAAATAAAAATATTTGTTACGGAGAAAAATTTGAAAACACATTGTAGATAATTAACTAAATATACATAATAGACAAACATGAATATAAATTAAAATTCATTTAGTCTCTAATTAAAGTAAATGAAATCATATAATTAATTAGATCGTAAGTTTTGTATAATTTTTTCATAAGTCAGTTAGAAAAGTTAATCCAAATTGTGTTAAATAAGTCAGTTAAAAAAGTTACTTTTTTCTATAAGTCAGTTAGAAAAGAAGCCACATCCAAACAATTTTCTGAGTCAAAATAAATCACAAACCTCAGTTTCACACTTCCCCGTATACTTTTATCATTCCCAACAGTAATCCAAACGAGCCCTTAATTCTTAAAAAACTTCATATTAAAACAGCACACAACCCTAACACAATAATTTAATGTCTTCACGGTGGCCAGTGCATTTTTAATTCTTAAAATTAAACACTCATTATTCTCCTAAAAATCATTTTAAAAGTGTTCTTCACGTAGTTTGAGACGCAGTATTTTTCACATATTTATTTCTCATAAAATTATTTTTAGAATAATAGTTCAGTTTCCGGTCAAACAATATTCAAGATAAAATTCCTGACGCGTTCTTTTACTTTTACATGACATCATTCAAAATATTCCCATGTTACGTCAACTCGTCAATAATGAGGTGGCAGGTTTTTGGTCCATGCTTATTAATCTCTCCGCCTCCGCTCTTTATGACTTTATCATGGTTTTCACATTCGTACTTTATTTTCTTGGTGGGATGCCTAAATTCCACAACAACTTTCTGAACTTTGAATTGTTTTTTTATTTTAATTTTTTTTATAACTTTTCAAGTTTAACGTAACTAATTAATCTATCTTCTCAAGCTTTAGATATATATATTTTCATATAATAATCATTTACTCTATATATAATATAATAGGATTGCATGCACGTAATTTTTACTATTATTTATAAATCATGAATTATTTAGCTTGTATCAAATTCTGCTGTATGAAGCTAAGCAGAAAGTCTAATTTAGCTGGCTATTTGTTTATAAGCTAAAATAAAGGCCAGATTTTATAAGAATGAACATTTCACATAAACAAATGTTAACAAATACTAGCTTCCCGACTTAATATAAAAGCTAGTTAATAAATAAGTTTAATCTTAAATATAAGAACTCAACACATTTTGTGTATCAAATTTATAATTTATTTTTCAAAATATTCCTATTGGTTACACATATTAAGAGGATTTTCATCCAAAAGTAGTAATGACTAAAATACTTTAAAAAAATCAACATCATAACTAAAAGAATATTTTTAAAAAATTAAGTATTTGTTACAAATAGCGTATTAACTAACTTGCTTAATTTATATGAATTAGTCAAGTATAAGTAACTTTATGGGTGTGGGGCAGAAAAAACTTCTATGGGAGGTAGTAACTTTATTGGTGGATTACGTCCATTTATGCACTTGATGGAGATAATAATTAATTGCCCGTGACTTTCCTATATTACTAGTATTTATCACTTTATATGAATATTTTTGACTTTGAATGATGTTATTTAATTCTATATGGACTCCTATGACATGATAATTAAATCGTTGAATTGCAAATAATTGACATTTATTTTTTCTTGCCAGGAGTTGCGAGATATTATCATGCCGGCTTTCTCTAGTCTGTATTCACATCAAAACTTGCCAAGTCTGATTTCGCTTCGGCTTCCTTTCCCAGTTATATACTGATACTTAGTATAAGATCTTGTTTGAATTTTATGTTTATTCTAAATATAAGACTCCAATCTATTTTGTCTCTCACATTTACTCAATTTTTTCAAGATAGTCCTTCTAATAATTATAGTTTTAGCTAATATACTTAATTAGTAAGGATATTTTATAAAAGACAACATCTATTTATTACAAATAACTTACTTAACTTCTTTTTTTAATTTTCTCAAATTAATCAATTGGTTTTTATAATTAATAATACTACTGCACATTTACGCATGTCTCAACTTGCCTCTTTCAAGTTCTAAGGATCATCCATGGCCATTCTTCTTCCTCTCATCCTCGCTTTCATCACTTCATGCTCACTTTCTTCTGCAACTGATACTCTTACGCAGTCTCATTCACTTGTTGATCACGCAAATGGAACCACCACCTTGGTGTCCAGCGACGGAACCTTCGAACTCGGTTTCTTCTCCCCCGGCTCTTCCTCAAACCGCTACCTTGGCATCTGGTACAAAAATATCCCCGATACGACCGTCGTCTGGGTGGCCAACCGCCAAACGCCGCTCAGGAACGACAACAACTTCACAACGCCGAGTCGTTTGAGCATAACCGACGAGGGAGGTCTTGTGCTCCTCAGCCAAAACGGCACCGTGGTTTGGTCGGCAAACACGACGGTGAACAATCGAGGCGTAAGTGTTGTTGCGCAGCTTTTGGATTCAGGGAACTTGGTTCTGAGAAATGAACAGGATGAGGTTGATGTTGTTGATGATGCGAAGTATATATGGCAGAGTTTTGATTATCCGAGCGATACGTTTTTGCCTGGAATGAAGATTGGGTGGGATCTGAGAAGAGGAATTAACAGGGAATTGACGGCGTGGAAAAGTTGGGACGATCCTTCTGTTGGAGACTTGAGATGGGGCATGGTGGTCGGAGTGACGCCGGAGCTGGTGATGTGGAAGGGAGAAGAAGAGTATTATCGGAGTGGTCCTTGGAATGGAGTTATTTTCAGTGGGAAAACTACGCCAATCTTTGAGCTTCAGTTCGTCTCTAATCAAGATGAGGTATTCAATTTTCCTAAGTTTCACAAAACATTGTTTACTTTGGAACTTTGATTCAACTTTTTAAACATGTCAAAGCTAGTAAACTACATCATTGTTAGGATGTTAAAATCGTTATTAAGATATGAAGTACGAGCGAACCGATTTAATATAGGAAGAAATGATTCTTTTTTTTTTTGTGGAAATTTTGAGCCTTTTCTTTGTTTTTCCCCCCCCTTTTTGTTTCAATATAGAAAGATGCCAGTCTATGTCGCGTGTATCATATTACCATCTCATTGATTCGGCTGAACAAAGTATCGTCTCATTGATTCGACCAAGCTGAGACTTCCGGGTAGCAATTTGTTCTTTCCCCAATATTTTTTCAAATTTTAATTAATAATTAATAGTAAATTATAGTTTGAGCGAAATGTTATGGATGATCTTCAAATCCAAGCAAATAATAGTCACCTTCCTATTTTTTTGGGCAATTATTTTTGGTAAATCTAACGAGAGTCGTTCGTTTTCTTTCTCGTGGTTCGGCGCAAGGTGGTTTACACTTCCAAGCTGCAGAACAAATCGGTGATCACAAGGGTTGTATTGAACGGAACTACTTCTTATCGTCAGCGCTATAACTGGGTTGAGCAAACTAAAAGCTGGAGGCTTTACTCATCTGTGCCCAGAGATAATTGTGACAACTACAATCTCTGTGGCCCCTATGGAAATTGCATAGTTAATGACTCTCCCCCCTGCCAGTGTCTCTCAGGGTTCAAGCCAAAATCACCCCAAAACTACAGTGCTTTGGACTGGACCCAGGGATGTGTTCGCAGTGAATCTTGGAGCTGTGGGGTAAAAAATAGAGATGGGTTTCGAAGATTCAGTGGGTTGAAAATTCCTGACACTAGAAAAGCTTGGGTTAATGCAAGCATGACACTTGGGGTTTGCAGAATGAAATGCTTGGCAAATTGTTCCTGTACTGCTTATGCAAACTTGTATGTTACTGGGGGAGGTATTGGGTGTTTGATTTGGTTTGGTGAACTTATTGATTTGAGAGTGGCTTCCACTCCTGGGCAAGATCTATATATTCGAATGGCTGCCTCGGAAACTGGTATGAACTCTAATCTTTCAATCGCTGAAAACCCCATTTTGGTTCTACCATATTATTTGAGTGCCGGTTGGTTCCTTTAAAGATTTTTCAGCAACTAGAAATGTTGATCACTTGATACACGTTATCTTTTTAGTGTCTCACTAGTCTTGTAGACAGTTGAATGGCGTGCGCGAACAATGAACTGAAATTGGTAATTGCGAATGTCCTTGTGTCAGTATGAAATTGAAAAAAGTACTCTTTTGAAGACTAAAATGAATTGTTAAAACTTCGGGGGGATTATACTGAAACAAGATGCACCTTTAGAGGTTTAAAATATCAATTCATTTAGGATTTGTACTATAAAGTTTGCTTTTGTTTTGACTCCATATTTCATCTGATCCTCAAATGAACGACTGCGATTTTAGTATCTACAGAGTAACACATTTTAATATATTTTTTTTGGGCTATGAAACTGAAACAAAGCTATCCTTGTAGGTATTAAAGTTATCAAACAAAACCTTTGAAGAAGCTAGTTGATAGTTAGGTGACATTGGATAATGGGAGTTTAGTCTTCTTCTTCTTCTTCAGTGTACTTTGTGCTGATTCATTTCTCTGTCAAAATTTTAAAGATGCAAAAGGGCACAAGAAAATGGTGGGCATTGTGGTGACAGCGGTTACTGTTCCATTGGTTTTTCTGGCGCTTTTGGCTCTTTCTTGCACTCATTGGAGGAAAAGAAGGCGCAGAGGTAAACTTTCTTATTTGCTATATTTTATTCATCATCTAAACTATCTGGCATGAGCATTAAACTATCTGTTAGCGTTGCTTCCTTTTTTAGTCGCCTTGTAACATACAAAGCACTTTATTAATCTCACTCCCACAATATTTCATCCATGGTTATTCTCTCATCTGCCTATGATGTTCATAAGGTGAACCTCCTTTATGCAAGGCCAGTTTCCAAACTTGTGATATTTAGGATAGGTTGTTGCTTCCATTGACGTGACACTTGAATGATTAAGAAAAGTCTTGCATTTGGTGGCACAACTCAAGATTTTTCCTTCAAAAGAAAGTTCCTCTTTTATGATGTTGAACTTGTTTGGTCAATACAGAGAAAACCTCCCTAGAGAATAAGAGTGAAGGTGAACAAGAGGACTTAGACCTGCCATTCTACGACCTTGCTACAATTGTCCATGCCACTAATGACTTCTCAAATGACAAGAAGCTTGGCCAAGGTGGTTTTGGACCAGTATACAAGGTATGTGTATTTATGCACACACACTCATGAGTATATCTATATACCAGCAACATGCCTGTTAAGGACAAAGGGCAGTCCATCCTTTCATTCATCACGCTTGAATTTTCCTTAAAAATTTTTTTAGGGTATTTTAGCAGATGGACAAGAGATTGCTATCAAGAGGCTATCACAGAGCTCTGGACAAGGAACGAAAGAATTTAAGAATGAAGTGTCATTGTGTGCAAAACTTCAACACCGAAATCTTGTCAAGGTTCTTGGATGTTGCATCCAAGGAGAAGAGAAGATGCTCATCTATGAATACATGCCTAACAAAAGCCTAGACAACTTTTTATTTGGTCCGTGTATATGCAGAATCTTGTCTTTAGCAGAATGGTATGCTTTCATTTGTATCACGTCCAAACTTAAAGTAATTTACTGACTTGACAGATTCCAGGCAGAGCAAATTGCTAGACTGGCCAAGGCGCTTTCATATCATATTTGGAATTGCTCGAGGGCTTCTCTATCTTCACCAAGATTCTAGATTACGGATTATACATAGAGATCTTAAAGCAAGTAATATTTTGTTAGATGGGCAGATGAACCCGAAAATTTCAGATTTTGGCATGGCAAGAATGTTTGGTGGCGATCAAATTGAAGGGAATACAAATAGAATAGCTGGTACCTAGTAAGTCCTAAATTATTGCCTTGCATTTTCTATTTTCTATCAACTATTAAAGAATATTAACTCATTTTTAATTTCTTTCAGTGGTTATATGTCACCAGAATATGCCATTCATGGGTCATTCTCCATTAAATCGGATGTGTTTAGCTTTGGCATGTTATTATTGGAAATAGTAAGTGGAAAGAAAAACCGAGGAGCTTCTTATCCAAACCAGGGTTTTAACCTTATTGGACATGTGAGTAACTAACTTCATTTTCTGTTCTTTGTGTTATTCAAAGTTAAATATTAAATATTATATATAAAATCTTGACAAATGTGTAATATTCAAATTTTAGTTTTTGAACTTTTATTTTCTGATTTAATCTCAAAAGCAAACATAGTTGCCAATATTTTGTCGTCCATGCAGATTTTAAATGTTATTTGAATTACATATATAAGAACACTAAAGTTATGGTTGAAAAGAAATTTTTTTTTAATGTTTCACCAATAGGGAGGATCTAGAAGCTAATCTGGGGGTGGGGGGCACAATGCGAAACTACAGCAAAGTTTTTTTTTTTTTTTTTTTTGGGGGGGGTGGTGGGCCGGGGAATAAAATTTTCAGTAACATGGTGGGCAAGCACCCCTGCTCTCTCCACCCCCCCCCAAAAAAAAAAAAAAAAAAATTGTCCCTCCTGACAAAGAGGCATTTTGGTCTTTTGTCCCACTTTGCTCCAAGCTCCCCCTCTATGATCCCAATCTCGTCTAAGCTAAAAAGTAATTTTGTTTCTCTTGATGAGTATCAAACATGTCTGGACACTATCTGATGCTGTCAGAAGATACATGTGTATACATGTAAATATGGTTTCTGTTGCTGCACACACACACACACACATATATATATTAATCTATTACTTTTGTGCGGATCATAATCTCATTGATGCTTTGTTTTTTTCCCCCCCTCAAGGCATGGAGACTGTGGAAGGATGGCAACCCACTGGAATTAATTGATGGCTGTTTGGGGGAAGCTTTTAACTCATCAGAAGCACTGCGCTGTATTCGGGTTGGTCTTCTGTGTATGCAACTGCATCCTGAGGATAGGCCAGACATGGCCTCAGTAATTGTGATGTTGAGCAGTGAGAATGTGTTGCCTCAGCCTAAGGAGCCTGGTTTCTTGATAGAGAGGATTATGGTGGGAGAAGGATGTGCTTCTTCTGGCAACCAGATATCTTCTTCAACTAATGAAGTAACTGTGACTCAGTTGGAGGCCAGATAAGGTGTTATCTTACTTCTTACTATATGATGCATATGGAAGCATTTCATTTTGTTTTCTCATTGTATATTCTATGGCAATTAATCATTCTTGTAGATTGTTGGTGTAAATATAGTATCTTAAATTGGTTGTGGTGATATGCAAGTTAGATGCTGAGTGAGATTTTTTGCTTTGTTCCTTCCTCATCTGTTGTGGACATATTGAATTAAACTTCGATATAGCTCTTTACCAATTGATCAATTCTCTTTTTTTCTTTTTTTTGGGTAAAAGCTCTCAAGTTATTTCTTAACATTTGATTTTATTGGTGACCTACTTATCTTTGCTTATAGATAATGATCCGGCACATTTTCATCATGAGTTGTATGAGTGGCTGGAGTGACACCAATGTTAGATCCTGACTCATATATTTTTGAGATTTTCGTGTTGTATGATTTTTTCTCTTAAATGTATTTAAAAAAAAAAAAAACTAGAACTCATCCCTTCCCTGGTTAAAATTCCTGCTAAGCAGGATTGATATATGCACATTAATCCAGAAAAAACAGCATGAAGCACAATAATTTTCCTTTGGCCTACATTTTCCCCAACTACTCTCTAATGATGGACGTAGTTGTAGAATGTGTAGGGTTGTAAATTGCGAAGTGGCAAAAAGTAAAATATTGTCCATCAAATACAATTTTGCACAACGAGATGCGGTCTGAAGGATGAAGATTGTAACCTAGGTATGCTGTTGATCTGTGCAATACGTTTCTCTCCACATTTCATGCATATGCCAGAAAACAACATAGAGCAATACAAAATTGTAAGCAATATCACTAAGAGTTGTTTATACCAATATATATCACTTGCTTTTGTTAAAATCGCTAATCATGTATTCAATACAAAAAGTTAAGCAAAGCAATTGTTTATATGGGCTCTGTTTCAGTTGTAGAAAATTTATTCATTGAAGCTGGCATGTGGTTGCCGGCAGAAGATTCACTTCTAATTGTTGGCATATTTTCTAAAAGAAAGCCAGACTCTTTAGGTTGAGGCAAGTCATCCTCACTGCTTAACATCACAGCCACATATGTCATGTTTGGCCTATCATTAGGATGGTGTTGCACGCAAAGAAGACTGATATGAATGCATCTTAATACTTCTGATTCAATACAAGACTCTTCCAAATGCGCATCAATCAATTTTTGTGGGATTCCCTCCTTTCACAATCTCCATGCTTACAACCATCCCAAACATCTATCAATTGCCAGTTCATTAAAGATAAGAATGAAGTTAGGCTACAAGTTACTAACATGCTCGATAAGATTATGACTTTGGTTTGGTAAGCAGAACCTTCCATTCTTCTTTCCACTCACTATTTCCAATAGTAATATTCCAAAATTGAGTACATCAGACTTCATGAAAAATGATCCCTTGATTGAGTATTTTGATGCCATATAACCATTGAAATAAGTCATCAATGAGTTAATATTGTCTTCAATAATGTCTACAAATACAAATCATTATGTAACTTTAAGTGATACTTATTATGTACCAACAATTCTTCTTCTATTTTCTTCAATTTGATCGCTTCCAAAGATCCTTGCCAATCCAAAATCTAATATTTTGGATTCAACTTATTCTCTAGTAATAAATTACTTGCTTTAAGATCTCTATGAATGATTCTCAATCTCGAGTCTTGATGAAGATTACATAAGCTCTCGAGCAATTCCATATATAACATAAAAGCATTTGGACCAATTTAAGAGTTTTCTTTGAGGGGAAGAACCTGTAAAGTTAAAAAAGTAAAAATTAGTTGTTATCCGAGCTGAGTTTAAAGAAATTGATAAATATACAAATGTATGAACCAAAAATAAACGAATCTAAACTCTTATTGGGCATGTATTCATAAATGAGTATTTGTTCTTTTCCTTGGATGCAACAACCGAGAATTTTAACAAGATTTTGATGCTGAAGTTTGGCGTAGGATATAACTTCATTCTTGAATTCTTTTATTCCTTGATTAGAATTTTTTGAAAGTCGCTTGACAGCAATCTCCTGGCCATCAACTAACATGCCCTAACCATTAAAAAAACATTGTCATATATGACATCATATCTTAAAAGACTAAAATCACTTTCTTTACTCTTGTTTATCAGTTCATCGCAAGTTACCTTATACGCTGGTCCGAAACCACCTTGGCCAAGCTTATTGTCAATTGAGAAGTTGTCGGTAGCACAAGCTTTTATATCAAAGTTATAGAAAGGAAGCTCCATATCTCCCCTAGCAGTGTCTTCATCATTAAGTTCTATGGACAAAGTTCTATGAGTTTTCACTGAAACAAGGCATAAAACATACATGATTTTTTTCCTAAGCATATATGCACACTAACAGAATTCAAAATTTGTCCTTTTATACCCTTTAAAAGATAAACCAAAAACAAAAAGGGCAGTTGAGCATAAGAATGTTTACCTCCAGATTTTCTTCTTCTCTTATAAATACAGTAGAAAGTGAAAAGCATCACAAGAGCTGCTAAAATGGTAGCTGCTATGACAATTCTCTTTCTCTTGTTTTCATTAGCACCTTCACGGTTAGCTTCGCAATGTAGCCAATGCACAAAAAGTGAGTTAGCTAAGCTCCCAGAAAGTGAATAGACAAGTAATGAAAGATGTATATTACCTAATTTTTTATCCGTACCCGCAAGGCTAGGATATAGATTTTGGCCAACATTTGACATTTGATTTATGTCAATAAGATCCCCAAACCACATGGCACAGCCACGACCTCCTCCCCTGATATCTGAATTAGCATAAGCAGTACAAGAACATTTTTCCCAGGATTTCGCTTTACGCTCCTCAAGCGTCATACTTGCATTGACCCAAGTATGTGTAGCATCTGGTCATTTCAACCCACTAAATTTAAGAAAAGTGTCTTTACCTTTCACGTTACAGTTCCACTGGTCACTACGAACACACCCTTCTGTCCAGTCAAACGTGTCCCAATTTTTGGGTGATTTTGGATTGAATCCTCTCAAGCATTGGCAATTGGATAATTCAATGATACAAATTCCATTCGAGCCGCAAGTATTGTACTTTTCGCGGTTATCTCTTGGTAAATCACCAAAAGATTTCTAACTTTGAGTATCTTCAACCCATATCAACCTTTGCATTGCATATTTTGTTTGGTTCAAGACATCTATAAAAATCTCAGACTCATTGTTGGGAGTGTACATGAAAGTAGACCTCATCCTTTGGATACCAACGCTATATTGCTGTTCACTGCAGAAGAACCACTAAATGAAACACCATTCCAAGGGCTTATCCTGTAATATTCTGTGAGCCCTTGCCAGAAAACCTTTTCTGGTAAATTGTGAAGCATGAGCTCGCTTCTAAAGTCTCCTGCAGAAGGGTCATCCCAGTTCTTCCATGCTGTCAAATACCGATTAGGACCAGTTCTTAGGTTCCATCCTACCTTCATTCCTGGCAATAATGTATCAGAAGGATAGTCAAAACTCTGCCACATGTAGTTTTCTGGATTCTGGTCTTTCTCATCTCTTAGTACCAAGTTTCCAGAGCCTAAAAGTTGGACAATTGGACTCGATGCCTTTCCTGTTGAATTCGCCAACCAAACAAGTGTGTCATTATTGTTCACAAGTACTAGGTTTCCCTCTTTGTTTATGATAAACTTTCCTGAACTGTGTTTCATTGGGTTTTCACGGTTGGCAACCCAAACAACAGTTCTTACTGTTTTGCTTTTGAACCAGATTCCAATATAGCGATGTGGACGGCTACCTGGGCCAAAAAATCCCAGTTCGTACTTTCCATTGTCAGACACTAAGGTGGTTCTTCCATCATCAACAAGTGGCTGAGATTGTGTGATAATATTAATATCAGATGAAGAGGCCACTGGAAGGAGGAAGATAGCAAGCAGATTGGTGAGAAGAAGCACACAAGGAGGGATGGCCATGGCTTTAACGAAGGTGTTGTAAAATTCAAAGGTATATATGGAAATGATGTAGGAGGATATAAGTGTAGAAGAAGCACGTTGATTGACTTCTGATGGGTCACATAAATCTCATAAGTCGTCAGATACGAGTATATAACTATATATAGGGAAAGGTGGCAAGAGATAGAAAACGGTTCGTTTCTGTAATGCTTTAAGTCAAAATCTGCTAGCTGCCTAAGTTTCCACTGTGGATATTGGTTTTTGAATTCCTCCTATTTTTTCGTAGTCTCCAGTAAGAGTTAGGAAAATTTTATTTAAGAAATTCCGTGACATACGAAAAAACTATAGTATTTTTACTAAGAGATTGCCAGTGTATCTTAAAATTATAACCCGTTTTTCTCAAAGTTTAATATAATTAAATATTTAGCTTGTGATCTTTCCTTTCCTATCTTTTGCGCTTTCTTTCCGCATAGATATCTTTTTAGTGAAGAAAATTTTATTCAAGACACTAAATGTAGACACTTTTCCCAGTAGGCATTTGAATCTTGATTCATCACGTTGTGAGCAACTAACCCGTTCTACTATATATATATATATATATATATTTGCCTCTATTTGGTTGGAGGAATATGGAGGAGAATATAAATTTTAATGGGTTTAATTTTTTTTTTTTTAAAAAAAAGTGAGGCAAAATTTTTTAATTAATTTTTTTAATAATGTTCTCTTGTATGTTTTCTTTATTAAAATTTTATAATCATATTTGTGTTACTTTTAAATTGAATTCATTAAAATTTTTCCTCTATTCTATTCCCCTCCTCCTAGAAAAGGTTGAACCACCTGATTAAGCTTTCTTCGCAAATAATTAAAAGCAAAAATATTATATTTTTCTGGTCGAGTCCTTCCCCCCTACTGTATCGGCTGTAATTATATAGATAGAAAACATGTCTGACAAATTCAGAACATTCTACTATGAGAAAATGAAATAATTTAAACAGAAAAGGTCCCAAAAAATTAAAAAAAGAAAAAGAAAAGAGAAGAGTTGCCAGCTACTACTTTTTCAAGGCTAATTCTGATAGAAGTTTTAGTGCACAAACTATTTGCACAATATATGGATATACAAATAGCACTAAGGCAAAAGACTTTGACACACAGAACATGAAGCACTCTTTTGGGGGAAGTTGGGTAGTTAACATAAATACCCACAAAGAAAATAGCGAGTTGGAACATTTTCAATGCCTTTGATTTGTCTGGGTGCCAGTTTGTTCAACGGAAATTGATTGAATTATAATAAACATGTCAAATTAGGAGCATCATTCAGACTCAAGGTCATCTTTATTTGTTGCAAATAGCCAGTCTTAAGAGTATGCTCAGTATCAGTATATACAACATATAAGCAACATATTTATAGAAGTACAAAGCTACAAGCACTATGCCCAACCTGGCTTGCTTTATTGCAATTTGCTAATATTCTTGTATTTTCAGTGTTATTTGTTCTATATAGCAGTATAAACAATATGGAAAAAACAATTGTTTATCTGGGCTCTAATTCAGTGATGGAAATTCTATTCATTGAATCTATTGTGTGATTGCAATTATATGATTCTGCATTGATTGGGATATATTCTAAGAGGAAACCAAGCTCTTTAGGTTGAGGCAAGTCACCCTCACTACTTAACATCACAACCACAGATGCCATGTTTGGTCTGTCATTAGGATTGTGTTGCACACAAAGAAGACCAATATGAATGCATCGTAATACTTCTGGTTCAATACAAGATTCTTCCACATTTGCATCAATGAATTTATTTGGGATTCCTTCCTTCCACAACCTCCATGCCTACAATAATTCCAAAATGTCTATCAATTACTAGTTTATTAAAGATAAATGTATGAAATTAAGTTGCTAGCTACCAACATGTCCAACAAGATTGAGACTTTGGTTTGGTGAGGAGAATCCTTTGTTTTTCTTTCCACTCACTATCTCCAGTAGTAATATTCCAAAACTGAATACATCAGATTTTGTAGAAAATAACCCATAAATTGCATATTCAGGTGCCATATAACCACTGAAAAATAAGTAATAAGTGAGTTTTCTGTAGTCTTCAATAACGTGTTAAACCACAAAAGCACAATATGATTAAGAGATACTCACTATGTACCGACAATTCGCTTTGTATTCTCTTCAATTTGATCTCTTCCAAAAATCTTTGCCAAACCAAAATCGGAGATCTTTGGATTCAATTCATTGTCGAGTAATATATTACTTGCTTTAAGATCTCTGTGAATAATTCTTAATCTTGAATCCTGATGAAGATACAAAAGACCTCGAGCAATCCCACATATAATGTAAAATCGTTGTGACCAATTTAGAGGTGTAGTTTGGGTAGAAGAGCCTATAAAAATTGCAAATGACAAAAGAAATTAATTTTTATCCAAGTTGGCATAAAATTATAAATACAAAAATATACGTAGAGTACAAACCAAAAATAAACAAATCCAAACTCTTATTAGGCATGTACTCGTATATCAGCATTTTCTCCTCTCCTTGGATGCAACATCCAAGAACTTTAACTAGATTACGATGTTGAAGTTTGGCACATAATATAACTTCATTCTTGAATTCTTCCATTCCTTGGTGAGAGTTCTGTGATAGTCTCTTGATAGCAATCTCTTGTCCATCATTTAATATACCCTAATCATGTGTATTTTAAACAAATAATGTTATCTATGACATAATAAATCAAAAAATTACAAATACACGTTTGCTCTTCTTTGTTGGTTTATTACAAGTTTACCTTGTATACTGGTCCAAAACCACCTTGTCCAAGCATATTGTCAATGGAGAAGTTATGCGTAGCATTAGCTATTATTGTAAAGTCAAAGAGAGGAAGCTCCAAATCTTCTTCTGAGCTTTCATCGTTATTTGCTATTGCCAACACAGTTACTCAATTTATCGCTCCAGAAAATTAAACGGCACAAATATAACATATTTTTCTTTTTCAAAACATGATTTCACTTTGCCTAATCTGGTTGAATTCCAAACTTGACCTTTTACATTCTTTAAAGAGAGAAAGAAAACAAAAAGTGTTATCAAAAAAAGAAAGAAAGAAAGAAAGAAAGAAAACAAAAAGAAAAGGCAATTGATCTTAAGAAAATGTTGCTTACCTTTAGGTTTTCTTTTGCTCCTATAAATATAGAATGTGAGAAGCATCACAAGAACTCCAGAAACGGTAACTGAGATCACAATTATCTTTATCTTGTATTCATTATTACCTTCATGGTTAGCTTCACATAGAAATGAACAAATATATAGTGAATGTACAGCAAATTGAGATAACTAAACACCCCAAAAAAAAAAAAAAAAAGCAGAGAAGAATAGATAATCAATGAAAGGATATAAATACCTAGTTCTGCAGAAGCAATTCGAATATACAAATCTTGATCAACATCATTTGACATTTGTTTCATATCAGTAAGATTACCAAACCACATGACACAACCACTACCTCCTCTTCTGATATCTGAATTAGCATAAGCAGTACAAGAACAATTTTCCCAACATTTGGCTTTGCACTCCTCAAGTGTCATACTTGTATTGACCCAAGATTTTGTAATATCTGGTAATTTCAGGCCACTAAATTTAAGGAAACTGTCTTTACCTTTCACCTTACAGCTCCATAGTTCACTGTGAACACACCCTCCTGTCCAATCAAACATTTCCCAGTTTTTGGGTGATTTTGGCTTGAATCCCTTCAAGCACTGGCATATAGCTGTATCAACGATGATGCAATTTCCATATGCACCACAAAGATTATATAGTTCACAATTATCTCTTGGTAGATCACCAAAAGATTTCCATGTTTTTCCATCTTCAATCCACACAAGCCTCTGCAAAGCGTGCTTTGTTTGGTTTAAAACTCTTATAGAAACCTCTGACTCATTGTCGGGAGTGTATATGAAATAAACCTCGTCTTCATTGGAAACCAATGTTAAGTTATTATGAACTAATTCTTCCATCGTTGTAGGAGTGCCACTAAAATCAAGACCATTCCATGGGCCACTTCTGTGATATTCTGTGGAGCCTTCCCATAAGACTATTTCTGGTAAATTGTGAAGCATGAGTTCACTTCTGAAGTCTCCTGGAGAAGGATCATCCCAACTTTTCCATGCCGTTAAATGTCGATTAAGACCAGTTCTAAGGTCCCATCCAAACTTGATTCCTGGCAAAAGAGTATCAGAAGGATAATCAAAACTCTGCCACAAGTAGTTTTGTGGACTGATCTGGTCTTGTTCATCCTTCAGAACCAAATTTCCAGAGTCTAGAAGTTGTACGATTGGACTTGAAGCTTTTTTGGTTGAATTTGCTAACCAAACAACAGTCTCGTTCTGGCTTAGAAGCACAAGGTTTCCTTCTGTGTTAATGCTCAGCTTCCCTGAATTACCTTTGACTGGTTTTTCACGGTTGGCAACCCAGACAATCCTTCTAGTTGGGATGTTCTTGAACCAGATTCCGATGTATCGGTTTGTGGAACTACCTGGGCTGAAAAAACCTAGCTCGAACTTTCCATTTTCAGACACCAAGGTGGTTGTTCCACCGTCAACCAGTGGCTGAGATTGTGTAATAATATCAACAGCAGTGGCTAATAACGAAGACAACAATAGAACCACAATGGTATAACTATAAACATGCGCACAAAGAAGGATGGCCATTGATTTGTTCAAAGCGTGGCCAAGTTACCTATATATATATATATATATATATATATATATATTTATATATATGTACACATACGTATAGAAATCATCTATGTTGAGGAAGTAAGCGCAAGAAAGGTTGAACAAAGCACGTTGATTGACTTGGACCGTTGAATGTCGCAAGGAAGAGTGATGACTACTTCAAAAAATATGGAATATGGTCTTTTATAGAGAGGGTATTCTTTTTTGTATTTACAATTTATAAATTATAGTATTAAAATTTTCACATGAATGCACAATTATACCTTTTATTGATTATTTATGAAAAGAGGTCATTAAAATATAAAAAAATATATTAAAAAGAGATTAAGTTGGAATATTATTAAATTTTAAGATAAAATTAAGCAGATTTAAGATTTTTCTTACTTTCAATGGAATATATTAGAAGTGTTTTATCAATGAGGCAAGGACGAAGTGTATTTAGGAGCAAAAAAGAAACCTACGCAAAGGTTGACTAAAACATGTGGCCAAGATGATAAGGAAAATAGCATTCCAACTATCTTACGTTGTTCATTATTCTTCGGTATTGTTGACAGCTTAATTTTTAATTTAACTACGAGAGACTTTTCTTTATATGAAATTAAATAAGCAAAATTTCAAACTTACATAAGCCATTCATTGATTTAATTAATCTTATGAAATAGCGAATCTCACAAATTGAAAATAAATAAAAAGTAAGATAAAAATGATATAAGAAAGAAATAAATGCAGTTAACAAAAACGACGTGTTTGGACAAATGAGAATCAAATATCTTGTAGGAATGTTAATTACGCTATAGTAAGGACTTTTAATTTTGGAATATGTTAAATAACGACCTAAGTTGTTGGTTGGACTTTTTTTTTTTTTTGAATTAATTTTTGCCGTGTCTATGCTTATAATATTTTGAAGACTTATCTTTAATTATTTCAATACTGAGCTTTGATACTTTTGTAGTTTTATTACTCTCAGATACATTGACAATTTATTTATATATATAATATAAAAATTTTAACAGGCTCAAATGATCATGAATTCATTAAAATACTCTCTTCTTGTTGAAGTTGTATGGGTCTCACTTTCAATGGCAAATTCAATAAGATTTTCTTACCCAGATATTTTATTATATTCCCTTATTAAGTAAACTAATGGTATAATTAAAAAATAATCCTTATTTTATTATTACCCGCCTTAGCCTTATCTTTTAAGTTGAATAGTCTCCACGTATTCTCTCTGTTTTTTTTTTTTAAGATAACACTCCATGCATTTCTTCGTGGACAGCTTTTAAAATGAGCATATATATACTCCTCTGGTCATTAATATAGGACCTAATTGTTGAGTTGGTTTTGATCCTAAATATAATATCTATTTACTCCTCCGGTCCTTAATATAAGATCCATTTAACTAATTTGATTAGATTAAGGAAGTTAGGTAAGTTAGTTAATTATAAAAAATGTGACATGTTTTTTCTAAAACACCATAATCATCTTTCTTAATACCCCCTCCCTCTTCTACACTTGATTATGATTGAGGGAGTATCTATAAGGGTAATTTAGAGAAAATTGATAAATATGAGAAATGGGTCTTATATTTAGGATCAGAACCAACTCACCAATTGGGTCCTATATTAAGGACCGGAGAAGTATCATATTTATCAATTTTCTCTAAATTACCTCTATGGATACTCCTTCAACCATAATCAAATAGAACAGAAAGAAGAGTATTAAGAAAGATAATTATGATATTTTTAAAAAAACGTGTCACATTTCTTATAATTAATTAAATTACCTAACTTTCTTAATCTAATTAAATTAGTTAAATAGGTCTTATATTAAAGACCAAAAGAGTATATATATATATATATATAATCGCTACTGTTGGCAAAATAAAAAAATCGCTATCAAATATCAACGTTAGTCATCATATCGTTACCTACACGCTGGGAGACTGCACTTACAAATCCCACGTTAGTGAAGGCAACATCTCACCTAACGTACCCCGGAAGACAACTAACATTTTCCACCTTTCTCAATTCTTTTTTTTTTAAATTAAAAAAAAAAAAGAAGCCTTTTTCATGTCTGGGTTTGGGCAATAAGAGAAGATATTAGACAAATTTTAATCCGTCACCGAAGTATATTTTCTGCCTGTCCTAATGTAAGGCAATTAGCTTTATTATAAATGAATAAAACTGAAAAAATTGTTCAAGACATAATCATAAGACATGAGTTAAATCATTTCTGTCACAAGTTTGTTTGTTATTCAGTTCCAAACTAGATAATTCAGACAATAAAAGATCGAAAGAGAAAGAAAAAAAAAGGTCCATTTTAGGGATGCCAAAATCAACTTTTTAATATTGGAAAGTCAATACCAACTTTTCCCACGGCTGATGTTAATGACAGTCCTGGTTCACAAATGCAGTACAAGTTCGTGCAATTTTCAGGCCTAACATATTATCCTTTGATTTGTCAGGGCCAATTTGTTTCTTAACAAGGGGAAAACACAATGAAAGAGAAAATTGCTTTTATTTAAACTACAAGCACAATATCGAATCAAGAGAGTCGCTTAGAATGAACATCCTCTTGCATTTAGGCAAATAGCTAGTCCTATCCTTAAGAGTATACTCATTAGTGCTCCAAAATCAAGAAGTAAAAATTGAGTCTACCTGGCTTCTAACAAGGTGATAGATGTTTCATTACTTGACGGAGTGGTATGATTGTTAGAAGATTCTCCCTTAACTGCAATGTTTTCTAAAAGGAAACCAGGTTCTTTAGGCTTAGGCAAGACACCCTCACTACTCAACATTATAACTACAGATGGCATGTCTGGCCTATCATCAGCATGGTACTGCAAACAAAGAAGACCGATGTGGATGCATCGCACGACTTCTGATTCAACACAAGACTTCCCCAAACGTCCATCAGCGAATTTTAGTGGGATTCCCTCATTCCACAACCTCCATGCCTACAACAATTCAAAGCATTAAATCAGTTACCAATTTCAGTAATGATCAAAGAAAAGTTAGGCTCCTTGTTACTAACATGTCCAATAAGATTAACGCTTTGACTTGGTAAGAAGGGCCCCCTGTTTTTCATGCCACTCACTATTTCTAACAATAACACCCCGAAGCTGAATACATCAGATTTGATTGAGAAGAGTCCATGAATTGCATATTCAGGAGCCATATAACCACTGTTACAAGTTATAAAGTAGTTAATATCATATTTAGTAATGTGCATATATACAAAATCAAAAATATAAGAAAGCATACTCACTATGTACCAACAATTTGTTTGGTGTTATCTTCAATTTGATCCCCTCCAAATATTCTTGCTAGACCGAAATCTGAGATTTTTGGATTTAATTCACTATCTAATAATATATTACTTGCTTTAAGGTCTCTATGGATGATTCTTAGTCTAGAATCTTGATGAAGATACATAAGGCCTCGAGCAATTCCACGGACAATGTGAAAGCGCTTGGACCAATCAAGAAGCTTAGTTTCAGAACCTACAAGTTTTTAATGTATTGGTACTTATCATTATCCGAGGAGAAATAAAAGAAAAGAATGAAAGCCTGCTAATTGACAGCGATACAAACCAAAAATAAATGAATCTAAGCTCTTGTTGGGCATGTATTCATATATGAGCATTATCTCCTCTCCTTGAATGCAACAACCAAGAACCTTGACAAGATTACGGTGCTGGAGTTTGGCACACAATTTAACTTCGTTCTTAAACTCACACAGCCCTTGGCAAGAACTTCGTGAAAGCCGTTTCACTGCAATTTCTTGTCCGTCCGCAAGTATACCCTACCATTTTTATATCGTAAAACTGACTGTCAATACATAACATCAAATATCACAAGAGCCATTGCAATCTTTAGTAACAAGTTAATAGCATCCTTACCCTGTATACAGGACCAAAACCACCTTGGCCAAGCTTGTTGTCCGATGAGAAGTTATTGGTAGCATTAGCTATTAATGCAAGGTCATAGATACGTTGCTCCATATTTCCTTCACGGCCTTCTTCTTTGTCTACTGCTAGCAAGTTTTTTAGCTCCATGTTTCTGTCAGAGCCTTCTTCCTTGGTTGCTGCTAATAATGTTTCTGTTGTAAATTAAATGGAATACATAAATACCCCCCAAAAAAAAAAAAAAATAGTAGCATTAACTATTTCGGCAATGTCAATTGAAGGTGGCTCCATGTTTCCATAAGAGAATTTTTCGTTGTTTAATGTTAACACGGTTTTCATAGTTCAATTTGATACGCTAAATGATAGAAATCTTAAAAAGAATAAGTAAAGGAAATCGTTCTGTTCTTTGGGAAACATAATGGCATCAAACTCAATCATGTCAGATTATAAACCAGACAACCCCAGCTATTGTTAGAACATTGGGTTTGGGTTTTTTGCCTTTTTTTTTGGGGGGGGGGGTGGGGGGGAGTCTAGGCTTTTGGGAATGTTTACCTTTAGAGTTTCTTCTGCGCTTGTAAATGTATAACAAAGTGAAAAGCATCACCACAGCCAATATAGTGGGCACTGTTACAGCAATCACCTTTGTCTTATTTCCATTAGCCTCATCCTGTTCAGCTTCGCAAGAAAACGAAAGAGTTAATAGACAAAAAGTTGAGGTTGCTAAAGAAATCGAAAGATGATTAAAAAATTATACCTGTTTCTGGAGAAGCAAGGCGAATATACAAATTTTGGTCATCAAAGGGAATCTGCCTTATATCAATTAAATCACCGAACCACATAGCACAACCGCTACCTCCTCCCCTGATATCTAAATTAGCATAAGCATTACAAGAACAATTTTCCCAGCATTTGGCTTTGCATTCCTCAAGCGTCATACTTGCATTAACCCAAGAATATGTAGTATCTGGGAATTTGAGCCCACTAAATTTGACAAAATAATCCCTGTTTTTTTCCTTGCAACTCCATGATTCATTGCGGATGCATCCTTGAGACCAGTCCATTGCATT